AGCTGGTTAGCCACAACTTTAAACTCTTTAATATGTTCTGATCGTGGGTCATATGATCAAACTCGCCAAAACGCTCCAATACAAAAGCTCGATATTTCATAGAATTCGGACTATTTTGAGAGAAAAAAGCTAGTAGCCGGATACGCAACAATTCAACTATCCGAAAATCGACCAAAACTTGAAGCAGTAACCGAATCCGACTATAGATAAATAATAAATTCAAGATTTTCCGTCACCGCGCTATTATACCAGGTATCCGCAAATCGCAAAAAAAATGTAGAAACTGATGACCGTTATCCGTAAAACTATAATAGTCCCCCATATGCATTAAGCTTAATCTATTCATTTAACAAGCGCGTTAAAATATTGTATGAAGCTTCGTGTATATAAGAGACCTCACATGTAAGATTGTGTGCTATATGCACTTCGTCACTGTGAATTCCGCATACAGATCTTTAACTAGTAGTTCAAAAGCAGTATAGGCAAAAGCAAATTTTTCATAGGTTTTGAAGGCTCGTTTTCACATGCGATCTTATGTGCGATTTTCTGCTCTTGATAGATGTGAACGAGTAATTAGTTAGGAATGTTCTGATGTGTAATATACACTTAACGTATGCTCCCGAGGGAAATAGTGAGTTTTGTTTTCCCAAGAGTCTGGTCGAGGTAAACATTGAGACTCGATGGAAAACAAAACTCACAATTTTCCGAAGTAGTGAACATTGAATGTTTTGTTTTTGGAACAAAAACATACATGTTAACCAACAATTTCATTTAAAAAATCCACTTTACTTTGTTATGACAAGAAGCGGGCAACACTTTTTTCCCTGGCGGGAAACATTGCATTTATTTGAAGTCATGTGACTACGAATGAACCATGCAATCACATTTAAAATACACAGCACCGATAAAACAAGGGCTCTTATTAGAACATTCGTAACTAATTCACTCGTTCACATCTATCAAAAGGAGAAAATCGCACATAAAATCACAGCAAAAATTGCAAGCGTAAACGAGCCTTGATAGATTTGGTCTATTAATTTGATCTCTGTTTCACTTGAGGTACTCAAAGACACCGAAATCACCCTTCGGAGGACTGACCAGGAACGTAAATTCTAATTCATATTTAATTTACAATTTGCTATTACATGATGTACTTCCTGCTTGATAATTGATATGAACTTGGTTGACCTTATTAATAGGCGTCTTTAATTAACTTCCAGAGGATTGAAAAGAAACTCTCTGTCAAATGTCAATATAAAGCCTCGTTGATCTTAAATTGGAAATTTAATTACAATTGGAAATTCAATTAGAATTAGAAATTTAATAATAATTAGAAAACCTGTTGAAAATTTAGATATGCACCAATAATCACAAAAGTTCGAACATTGTTCTCAACCATTCATTCGATGATGGATGATGATGGATAAGGCAAAGTTAATGGATTTTAAGTGCCTTACCAAGTATATAATGTTTTTCATTTTGCCTTTTATCTCGCCAATCATGCAATAAACCCTCCCTTCCATTTCGGACTTTTTATATGGCTTATTAAAATATGGCTATTGAGACGTGCGTGTACGCGATCAATGCCAAAGGAATTCGAGTTAAGATTACCCTAGCTTGCTGACTATTAAGAATGATAAAAATTTCCTGTATATAATATTCATTCCTCTCAAGAAAAAAAATGTTTCCGCTTTCCTCCCACCTTGGCTGAGTCAGGCTGACCTTTGCCTTTTAATTAAGCAACAAGGTTGCAAAAAGTGTGGTTTCACACAATACCAAAACAATAATAGGAACAAAGATGTTGACGTCAGAATAGTAAGTTTCATTCCAAAATACTGAATGACATAACTGACAGCACTTAACTGGCTTTACCAAGGCAAGATTTTTTCTTTTTAGGTACGCCATCCTGTCTGGTCGGGATCATATAAACACTTCTCTAATTCTAAGAGCTTACCAGTTCACACTCAAACGTATTGAGTGGGAGATCTAAATCACGTCGTAACGATTCTAAATTAAGAGTAATCCCACTCGAGTAGGAATTTGATTTTCTTTGATTTACCTGAAGGCTTTCCATTGATGAAGAAACAACTTTCAAATTGCTCAGAAATAACAGAGTTCCTACGTCACACACACTGAATGTGAGCGAGCTTTTTGCGTGAATACAGGCTACATTTTTGGAATTGAATCACGTATCTCCATTGTATGTCGTCTAATAGTCTGTTGTCATATTTCGTTACAAAACACTAGTTCTACGTTCAATTCAATTGTCAATTTGATTCAAAGTACAAAATATTTGCATAAACTAATAAATCACGATTAGTACTATCTTCAAAATTCGGTAGATGAACAAAATTCAGTAGAAAAACAGTTGATGAACTTTGTAGGAACATTCTCGCTCTTTTTACATCTTTTCTTAAGGTCAACTAACTCATGAAGTCTTTATCTTAAGCAAATGAGTCAAATTTCTCGCAAAACAACTATTAGCACTACGTAGCACGATTAGCTTCACTATAACGGAAACCATCGTAGACGCATAGATATATCGGAACCTGAATTTCCAGTATATTTCATTACTATCGCCTTCAATCAACCCTTTCAAAGATGTCATTTATCAAAATTTCACGGAAATTTCTTAGTGCCTCTAGGAAACGAGAAAGCTGTTAGAATTGAAACAGGCAGGGAAACTTTTGAAAGACTTTGTCAAAAATTGAACCTAGTTAATAGTTAGCTAGAAAAACCGTTCCATATGATTAGCAAGGATCAGGGTGTTCTAACAACCGCGCATTGAATGTCATGACTACCTATAACAGACAAAAACATTTCTCGAGGCTTCGAAAGGAGAATTTTCTTCAAGAAGAGTTTTTTGTCTATTTTAGGGCGTTAAATATTGCATGCTAAGTTGGGTCAGGAACCTGGCTTACGGTGAACACTTATACTCCTATGCTTAATGGGATGTCGATTGGACCAGTACGGAAATACGGGATACAGCATATACCTGCAGCGTGATGTGGCCGTTCCGTTCCGCTAACATACAAACGCGAGAAACTACGAGATCAACTCATAGAGCTCGTGTTATTCTTGTCACGAAATATGTATGTATATCTTTCATCAAATCCTTTTAAAGGGGATTCTTTAATATCTTGCGTCTCAAAGAAGAGAAGAGCCCTCTTACGGAAGAGCAAAGCCCTCTTACTATGTGTCACTCGATTCGACATGCAATATTAGGACATCCACCTACACTACCATGGTAAGTATTGCCTCTAAAGACGTCACATTAATGATCGTCGTTTGAACGTGCTGCTTTGAAATGTCTCGTGAGAAAAACACAAGAAATATGTTCTACATAATAGCAAAACAATTATTAAAATGCAAAAGTCGTCATCAAATCAATTGATGCAGTTCTGAGTTCTGTACGATTTCTCCGTGATCTAGTATCCTCGGTATTTAACTTGTACCAATGCTACCACAACAAAACTTTCTGGATGAATTTGTATCGTTTTAATTACAAGTTAATCGAAATTTTAGTATATAATTTCTGGTGGCTATGACTCATAGCCCATGACGTTTATAGTCTTCTAATATAGGAAATGACAAATGTTGGTCTAACTGCTAGCTTCTCCTGACTGCTGTATATACTTGTCCTCAAAGGTAATTGAAGTTTCGTATAATTTATGTCTCGAGAAAGCGCCGCCGAAAATGAAAAAAATCAAAATGCTCACTTTTACGCAGTTTGTCATTACAATGACACTGCATGCATGTCATTTGCAATTGTTCCATATTTTAGCAAATGTTCAGTGCTTCCTATATGACAGTGAGAGTAAGTGGTTTGGAACTTGACAAACCTTTAACCAACAAGGGGAGATTGCTAACAATAAGAAAATACTTATGTGCTTTCACTAACAAAGCAGGATTTTATTTTAGACCAATCAGCAAATTTGTTTATATTTTTAAAACCCAACCTGAATGCATGAATGAAGATTGACTACTTCCGGTAAAAGGATACATGTTGCCTTTCAAACGAATTCGTGATAATTTAGAATAGCCTGAAAAATGTAATCAAATTTGCCGATTCCATCAAAACAACAAGCCTTCTTGTTTACATGTATTCAGAGGTATTCAGTTCTATTAAACTCGTGCATTCTAATCATTTCCTTTTCTTTTAAGCTCCTAATATCAAGTCTAAGAGCTGCTCTCCACTGTCGCGTTTTTCATACATGCATGCATATACGTACGTTCCCCACGCACGCAAAAGTATAAATCCTTACAGATATATATGTCATATTTAAAAAAGCTAGATTTCCACATATTTTAATATGACTAATAATTTGACCAATTCGTTAAATAATAACAATTTGGAAACATTTAAACTTTTCGGCGCGTAAAAAAACGCGACGGTGGAAATTAAGGGTGTATTATTCCGACCCGGCTTACACTCTGCCGGATTTGCATTGTCACGCATCAATATTAGCCATTTCAAAGCGAGTTTTAACCCGAAAATTATGATAGCATGTTTGCTTCAACATGATCAGCCAAATGAAAAAGTTCTGGGGATTGAGTAGCGTTGAACAACTTAAACTGATGTCGTTCGTGTGAACCGGTATGGTTAAATCGGGCTCTCCCACTTTTGCATATTTTCTTTTGAATTTTGACAGAGTAATTAAGTTAGTTCGGCTTGACTGTTCTCATTTCAAAAGAAAATATGCAAATATTTCGTTGCGTCGAAAGATTCCGCCCAGTGAAAAATCGTTTCCAGACTGCAGTGGTCTCAAAGCTATGAAGAACACTGATTCAACCTGGTAGACCCACACATTCGCACAATGAAGAACAATCGTGCAATAAAGTGCAAAACTTCAAAGATTACTAAAGGTGATCTTTCCTTTCAGCCCGCCGAAATGGCACTTCGTTTGTTTTGTTTCCGATAGGCTCTGGAACATGGCAAGAAAGATGTGACAGGGTATGTTATGAATGCATGCATGCCAATATTTATCTTATATTACAGCGCCATTTATTTATCATTATCATTTATTATCAATATCATGATGCTGGCGGCGATGCTGTTGGATTTAGAGTATACTATGCAGGTAAGTTAAATACAATAAAAGAACAAACCCGTATATTAGCTCAATATTTTTTATGTCATTTTAATATGTCATTTAAAAGCGCACAAACTGATGTAATTTAATTTTACAAAATTCTGCTCGTTGAACAAGTAATTCACCTACAATAGCGCTCTGCAGACTGCAATTAGGTTTCCGGATCCCTTTTTATAGAACCTAGAATTTTGCCCTTGGTTTTACTATAATTACTAACAAAGTAGGCAAACTCATTAAATACTTTACTTCATAGTATACCGTACCGCGTTAAGCCATTATTTTTTCTTACCCAAAGAAGTGTATAATAAGACAAGCGCTCGGATAAACTCTACAGTTACGTATTAGTATATTCCTGTAATACATAAATTTTCCTACAAATAAATGCTTTGGTAAGAACAGGGGCGTAGAAAGCGTCCAGAGATGGGGAGTCAGCCTCCAGGGACACTTATAGTTAGTGAAAAAGGCAGCTGAAAATATGTATGTAGGGACGGTTTGATTGCCAAAGCCGTGCACGGACATCACAAGTGTGGTTTATATTTATGCTCTGCAAAACGATTTGGGCGCGTGTAAGTAGGGATACGCAGTTTCTCCAAAAAGGTATTTTTCATCCCAAAAACGGCACTTTTGGCCCTATTCAGGAACAAATTTTTTGAGTCCGAACGAGGTTTCGCTCGCTGTGACTTGAAATGCAGGCGTTGTACACCAGATGTGAAAATCTGAGATCTGCCGTTGTAAACAGAACGTGGGCGACGTCTAAAACTTTCATAGCTCTTCATTAATTGGGCCCCATGCATCCACACGATGCCGGAATGGTGATGATGGAAAAATATTTTTACGGCTAAAGTTTCCGTCCACACGCATCCTGCGTTTTTGCCCACTGAACGACGGCTGATCAAGTACATGTGGACGGCTATGTCGTGCTATGAATTCGAGAACTATATTGGCTACAACGTTTGAAATTCAGTCCACCCACGTTCACTCGCTACAACCGTTTGAAACATAGTTTGAAGCGACAAAACAAGACATAATCGTTTACATGTTAATGTTGGTTTGCTTACTTTTTGGTTCTGGAGGTAACAATTAAACAGATCTTTGTGACAATGACCTGTTATCAGTTTTGGCACTCCAACTATGTTGCATGTTAGAAATTGTAAGAATGAAGACTAAGATTAGAAAAAGGAACTACTGGAAGAGAACGACGATGAAAATGGACTGTTTATTCTGCTAACCTGCGTATTAGTTTAACTATTAAATATAGTCTTGAAGACCCGCCAAAGTGACAATTGCATGTCAATTGATGTAGGTTACAAGACAGAAGACCTGCATTGCCCTCATTTTTGCATGTCTACTTAGAATGGCGATTTCCGTCGTTCAGAGCCAAGGTAAGTACGGCGGTCAGGTCATTTTGATGGGGTCAGTATTTTTTAGACGACATTTTGACAATGAGATGTTGGCATGCAGCATTACCTACATGCAGGGTGCACAAAAAGCCCGCAACCTCAATAATTCTCAGGGGCCTGAGATCTTTTGTTATTGAATAGAAGCGAACATAAATTATGAGAATATTAAGGGTTTTGCAATATTTTGACACACCCTGTGTCAACTAGATAGTTTATAACGTTAATACCTTAATTCAGCATATCTGTATGTGTATAATTATATATCTTCTGTAGTCTAAGGATACAATTTATTGAACTTCAACATAATTGTTAGATTTTATCACAACAATGCTTGGAGTAATTTAAATTTGACATTATTTAAAATTCATATTTTGTATCCTGAATAGTGATTGGTTAGTTGTATATAATTGAATGATTTTTATTAGCCATAAGCAAGACTTACAACATGCATGCAAAGGGTGCAATTAATGGCCAAATCGTACTCTTCTTAGCAAATGAAATTGCAGCATTTGCCAAAGATTACCAAAGATATCAAATCAATTTCATGTATATAATAATTGTTCAGCAATAGGCTAATTTTCGCCCTCCGTTTCTATATATTTAGCGTTCGCAAATTGCACTTACTCTTGCAACTTTGAGGTTGAGGACGAATGCCAATGGAGCCAAGATATTTTAAGCGATAATTTAAATTGGTTAAGAAAACAAGGCCACATAAGAGGCTCTCAGGGAATCATCTATGAAGGTCCATTTGTATAGACCATACGAAGGGTTCAGGTAAGTGTTATAATTGCATTTGAAGAAAGTAAGAGAGGTTGCATCCCTTAATTTAGAAAAACTAGATTATGATTATGACTAACTCTAGTTAGTCGGAGACCCTGGGTTAGTTAGTTGTTACGGACCCAGCAAACTTTACACATAACTGTTCGGATTTCGGAAAAGAATATTTAATATTCGCATTTTTGCCTATATATAGGCGTTCTGAAAAGCACTAGTCAAGGACCAGGTGCACTGCAATTCCGCGGAGGAAAATGTATTCATATATATGGAGGTGGTTTTAAAAAACCAGAGGATGGAAGTAGACTTGTAATTCACAGTGGCTGTAGTGAAGAAAGACTGAAATTCGAGTTAGGATCAGACGGAATATTGACGCACACTAAACATCACATGTGCGTGAAGCCCATAGGGCCAGTGATTGATGGAGTGAAAGTAAGTTAATGTTACCCTGTCTCTTAAGATATTAGCGAGTTTAAGATCCACCCTATCTGCGACGTGGTAGCGACGTAAGAACACAATAGTAAATCTGTTGAGGGTGGCTCTAATCCAAGAACCCTGGAAGGATCACGTTGTTAGCGCGGTTGTGAAAAAGAGACTCCATGGACACTTAATGGGGGAGACATAATAAGAACAACTGAAAATCAACTAATGAAGGGGTAAGGGGTACGAATGGCCTGTCGTGCTTCCCCCCACCTCATTTGTCCGGCGTCCCTGCTCTAATCTATATTGCTGTTACATATGGTTCGGCACATACGAAGAGCGACGTTTAAACCAGGCCTTAGTCAGCATATGTCGTTTGAACCAACCTTAGTCAGCATATGTCGTCTTTAGGTTGGTGTTTATAGAAATTGCAACAAATCTGACACATGGAGCTGGACAAAAAGTGGATCTCTTCAATACCAGAAAAAAAAGTGTCTGACAGCGAAGAATGGAGTGCACCCTGTGGATGAAGAGAATCTTGTGCTCAGTTCTGTTTGTGATCAGCTACATAATTTTATTAAGTTTGTACCCAGTGAGTATGAACAGGCACTTTTTAGAAAATAAGAGATGGATAGGAGACTATACTAGATGAGCTCATTCAATGACGTAAACTCAAAATTGCAGTGTCAAGACAACTGCGAATATGGCGACGTTTCTGCGCATTTTTTGTGTGCGTCATTTAAACCATTTTATTCAACCGTTTTTCCATGGTCTTCAAGTTTTACAAACATGTACGCAACGACAAAAGTCTATGTCTTGCATCTGTCAAACTTGCACCTATACAGGGTGTATCAAAAAAAAGTAAACAATTGTTAAAATGTCCATAAACTGAAAATTTCGCAAAATGTCTGAAGAACGTGTGTTGATATAGGTATTTTAGGGTCTCTTGACCACTTTAACACTCAAATTAAATAAAAAAATTTATATCGACGTGCAGGAATGATTATTTCAAACACCACCTAAAACAACCCTCGCGCACAAAAATGGACGGTTTAAATCTTAATTCATTATCATAGGTTGAAAGTTTGGGTAATGTTTTATAAACTATCAAAGTTCCAGACAATTTGGTGTACATTAAATCTGCCAGGTGGCCTCTCGAACTTGGACTTTTTTGCTATTTTTGGCCTTTCCCCATACTTTTCGTTTCACGCGGTAATAATTCATGCATTATTGATATTTTACATTAATCATGCGTGAAATCATTTGTGAGCTGCAAAACGTATGCGAGAAAGGCCAAAAATAGCAAAAAATCCAAGTTCGAGAGGCCACCTGGCGGATTTAATGTACACCAAATTGTCTGGAACTTTGATAGTTTATAAAACATTACCCAAACTTTCAACCTATGATAGCGAATTTAGATTTAAACCGTCCATTTTTGTGCGCGAGGGTTGTTTTAGGTGGTGTTTGAAAATAATCATTCCTACGCGTCGATATAAATTTTTTTTATTTAATTTGAGTGTTCAAGTGGTCAAGAGACCCTAAAATACCTATATCAACACACGTTCTTCAGACATTTTGCGAAATTTTCAGTTTATGGACATTTTAACAATTGTCTGTATACTTTTTTTTGATACACCCTGTATATCAGCTTTCAAGATTCACTTATAATGTTTTCCTAACAGTTGGGTCAGGTTGGTATCTATACATGCAAAATTCTCGGTCATCCAAAAGAAAAGATAGTGAAAGTGCACGATTCATCTCCCCAAACATTACTACAGTCAAATCGTGTCTTCATTTCTACTATCGCATGTTTGGCCAGCGCGCTGGAAGTTTACAGGTGGGTATTTTTCTATACCTTACAAGGCCATTCTTTTTTCGTGAAATGGAAATTATGTTGTTTTCACGCCAGGAATGTTTCATTTTATAGATAATTATACACCAAATATGTGTTTAGAATCAAATATAGTAAAGTAGAATGCTCAATATAATAAGAGGCAGATAAGAGTAAATTTGGTTCAATATATCCATAAGATTTTTTTCAAACAGTATTACATATACTCAAGTGAATTTTAACTTATAAATTATTATACATTGAAAGTCAAAAGTCCGAGTCTAGCCGATATTATTTTTTTCTCAATTTTGGTTCAATTCTACTCCAACATTGGGGTAGCTGTCGATCTCCCAGATCTTTATTTGTTTGAATGCGAAGCTGATTCACGAAACAGCATCCAACCTTTCCTTCGACACATGTAACTACACCTCAATTTTTAACTTAGACTTCCCTTAATTGTTGATTATCTGGCTTCTCTTTTCCTCGCTAACCTCTTTTGGTATCTTTGGTCTACGAAAAGAATAACCGCATTTCTTACACAACTTAAATACCACGAGAATTAACGAGAAAAGTATGGGAGGCATAACTTGCTCGAAAGTTCAGATCAACATATCCAATTTCCAACTCACAAGATATCATTTATTTCTTGTATCATATATCAGTATATATGCTCTTCAAAAATCTAGGTGTACGTGTCGTCTGAAGGTAGCATGGGATTCCCCTTGAAGAGTTTCTATGGTCCCCGCTGCAGGGGCTGGAATCGAGCACAGGTCGCTGTAAACAACCAAACGACTCCGTATCAGGTCAGTGTTTAGGCTCCTCGAAAAACATGATTAACGTTAACTGAGTCCAGCAATAACAACTCACTTCCATTCTTGAAGTACGTTATCGAGGGTGTACGTGGTGTCAATGACGTGGGGAACATTGCCATTGATGATATTTGTGTGAGGGATTCATGCAGTGAACCATTAGAACCAGGTATGTACATAATTATTGTCGAAGTCGAACTTTAACATGCCGTAGGTATTTAGGTTAATTTATTATGTTTATTATGACTATTCATTATGTTAGGTCTAACGATATTTTTGTACATAGCATAGCTCATTTAGTTTGGAATTTTTTTTCATGCCACATGATGGTATAGGGAACACACACCCCCAATCAATAAAGAACAACTCACCACTATTTTTAAACACAGTGAAGATGAAATATACAATATCCGTTTCGTTTTTTCTGAAACACTCTGGTTGAATTTCGTTTTCCCTCAAGAAATATTATCGCCGCCTATTGTTCGCTCTGTTGTAAGAAATCGTTAACCAATTAAGTAAACCTCGAAAACCCCCGTCAGTGTACTTCAACTTGGCCTATATCGTCTGTGAGTAAGGGGGGGGGGGAGCTGCCTACAATCCACACTCTACTCAGTCTCTTTTAATAAAGATTTTCACATGTCCAACATTAATTTTTAGAACAACAACCAAACTATCGGCAACAAAACAATTCGCAACTAAATGCAACGACACCTCCGTTCGTTAAAGGCAAGTGTGCAGTTGATTCTAAGTTTCATGATTCAACTTGGCTTTCCATTGTGCTCAAGTAGGGGGGGGGGGGGCTACCTCAATCCACACTTTACCCGGTTTTTTCCAACTACATGCACCAATTTCTTCAAAATGTTTGGAATCTTTGGTTAACTGTGATACATCCTATTCTGCATTACTCACTGGTCAATTGCTCCGTCGTTATATTCTATTAAAGATCTTCACGTTTCTAACATTGATTTTTAGAACAGAAACTAAACACTTCGCAACTAAGTGCAACGACACCTCCGTCCGTTGAAGGCAAGTGTGCAGATGATTCTAAATTGCATCTAGAAATATTTTGGCGGTGCTAACCCAAATAGGCTATGTTAAAAAGCTAAAATAATGGCAGAATTTTTGAATGGCAAGGCAGTGTAAGACCTCCTTTCGAGCACGCTGTCTCTTCTTCCCCGAAGACCGAAGTGATTATATTGAAGTGTTTTAAGTCGTGGTTACAGTTTCTGTTCTTTGTGCTTAATTTTTCATGTAATAAAAATTGACCTTCAGTCTTCACATTCCTATCTCAACGTCGACACCATGATGGTAACTATTATAGTCGCCTATTATTCGCTCTGCATGTTGTAAGAAATCATTAGCCTGTTGAGTCCCCCGGACCTCATCATGTCAGTGTATTTAACTTGGCTTTCGATCGTCTGCGAGATATCAGGGGGGGGCGGAGCTGCCCACAATCCGCACTCTATACTCAATCTCTTTTGATAAAGATTTTCACATGTCCAACATCAATTTGTAGAACAGCAACCAAGCCATCGGCAACAAAACAATTCGCAACTAAATGCAACGACACCTCCGTTCGTTAAAGGCAAGTGTGCAGTTGATTCTAAGTTTCATGATTCAACTTGCCTTTCCATTGTGCTCAAGTAGGGGGGGGGGCTACCTCAATCCTCACTTTACCCGGTTTTTTCCAACTACATGCACCAATTTCTTCAAAATGTTTGGAATCTTTGGTTAACTGTGATACATCCTATTCTGCATTACTCACTGGTCAATTGCTCCGTCGTTATATTCTATTAAAGATCTTCACGTTTCTAACATTGATTTTTAGAACAGAAACTAAACACTTCGCAACTAAATGCAACGATACCTCCGTCCGTTCAAGGCAAGTGTGCAGATGATTCTAAATTGCATCTAGACCTATTTTGGGGGTGCTAACCTAAATGTGTTAAAAAGCTAAAATTTAGGTGCAAAAATAATGGCAGAATTTTTGCATGGCAAGGCTGTGTAAGATCTCCTTTCGAACACGCTGTCTCTTTTTCCCCGAAGACCGAAGTGATTATATTAAAGTGTTATTATTAAAGTGTGATTATATTAAAGTCGTGGTTATATTTTCTGCTCTTTGAGCTTTATGCTTCATGTAATAAAAATTGAGCTTCATATTCATGTCTAACGTCAACACCATAATGTACAGGATTCCACTGAGAAATCACTAGCTCGAATGACATCAAAATTTTCTGTATGTAAACATATCTAAAAACATTTCATAACATATTAAATACAACATCTTATTTATTTTCTTTATATTCTCATTCCTTTTTAGTCTGCAAAAAAGCGAATATTTCGAGCGAAGTCTCGAGCAAACTCCCCATTTTCATAGCGGTGAATTTATGTGTGCTGCTTTTGATCGTGGTAATCAATATCATTGTGCTGGTAAAATGCAGACGACGAGACCAAAAACCAAAGGTATTAACTCAGGATCAGGACAACATTTCACTAACGGTGGTCGAAAGCTTACAAGGACCATGAGGAGTTATTGACTGAGGTAAACTTTTTCTGTTGCAGCTTTCTCTTAAATTATAGTGCAGATATCTTAGGTACAGTAGTCCCCCGCCACCTCGAACTCCTCACTAACTCGAACTAAATCCAATCCTCCTTGGATTATTATTATATTCATTTGAAATCAATAGTGTTTCTTGCAATCTGATTGGTTAAAAATAGTGTGATTAATTCCTAAATCGCACTATTTTGGAGCATTAATCACATCATTTAAAAGCCAATAAGATTGGAAAAAGGAAAATGGCACAAAAGTTTATTATTTTAAATTTTTAAATGCCCCGCAAAATTTCTTGAGAAAAATAGATGAAAATTACTCACATTTTACACCTATTACGGCTCTTTCAGCTAATAAATCGTTTTCAATTTGTTTAATTTTTGTATGATTTTAAAATGAATATAATAAAGTTGAAATTGGATGCACTTCGTGTCGTGCAATTTTGGTGTGAAATCAAACTCAACAGTGTGATTACAAATCAGCCAAGATTTTATAATCACACGTTTGATTTCAAACCAATTCAATTTCAAGCTAATTCGAGTTTCAAGTTTCAAGTTTTCCCTTGGTCGAATATATCCCGTCTCGAACTTTGGTTGCGAATCATAGATTAGCAAATTTTAAAATGTGAGAAGATAGCATTTTGACAACTGGAAACTATCGAAATAAACAACAAATTAATCGGTGTATAAACGTGTAATTGATTTTAAATTTTAAAAGATTATCTGTAGTGTCACGATCGTTATTGATCGTTTTTGTAACATCTCTACATATTAACAGTTAACTTTGACTCTAACAGTTAATTTCATGGTGTCGCTGCTTTAATCAGTATTTCATTATTATATAAAGCAGGATTTTTTAGCAAATAAACGCATTAACTGCGGCAATTCAATGCACGGGTAAATATATATCTAACACCAACCCTAGTTAAGTCGAATCGCCGGTAACTCGGACATTTTTTCTTTCCCCTTGGGAGTTCGAGTTAGCGAGGAAATACTGTGTTATAAAATATATGTATATATACTTTCAAAAACTAAAGAGAAAATAGGAAACATTATAGGCCAACGATTTGCTTTTAATTTCTTCAAATTGAATTTTTCTGACAATTCCTAAAGTTAAATAATAATATGCATGATTTTTATAGTTGGATATTTGAAATGTATCAAGACTGTTTCCTTCCTGCAACTCTGCTTGTTATCTTACCAAGAAGGATAGTTATATAATGATTGAAGAGAGACTCGGAAGCAGCTGTGAATATCCAGTGTCTATATCCATGGAACCGTTTACACTATATACCAGATACACTCATCACGACATCTTCGTTTGTCTTTAATGAATTATTGTTAATGAGTCTAACTTCCAATCATAGCGCAGTATTTTGGTCACATGTATACATCTGTAATTCTCCATAAAGGTCTTATGAATTAGTATTCATTACTTGGTTACAAACATGCCGTAATAGGGGTCTATTATAGGGGTTATGAATTTATGAAGGGGTTATGTCTATTTTTTCACTTCTTTTAACCGCAAACCGCAGGGCAATTTGTGCTATAAACGTAACTGCATATTTTCCACATGCAGTGACCTACATAATGATTATAGAAGTAAAACATTTTAATTAATGAATAAGAAATTGTCAAAAAGCGAGTATATGTAATTATAGCTCAATCACACAGGCTACGCAGCCAGTGGCGTAGCCAGCCTGACGATTTTGTCCCGCTATGTAAATTTCGAGTTATATAATAATTCATTTTTTTAGAAATTTATTGTTTTCACAGTCAATGAACACCAAAACACAAATTGTCAGGCTGGCTACGCTACTGTACGCAGCTAGTTAGCCACAACTTTAAATTATATGATCCACGATCAGAACATATTAAAAGCTGTCAAACTTGCCAAAACGCTCCAATAAAAACGTGCGATTTTCTTCTTTTGATAAATGTGAACGAGTAATTATAGTTACGAATGCTCTATTATATAAGGGCTCTTATTAGAACATGAGTAACTAATTCACTCGTTTACATGTATCAAAAGGAGAAAATCGCACACAAAATCGCAGCAAAAGGTGCAAGCGCAAACGGGCCTTGATAGATTTGGTATAGTAATTTGATCTTTCGGTTGAGGTACCCAAAAATACAGAAATCGCCATGCATCAACCTTCGGAGGACTGTCCAGGAACTTAGATTCTAATTCATATTCAATTTACAATTTCACATTACTGATGTAGTTCCTGCTTGATAATTGATATGAACTTGGTTGACATTATTAATATGCGTCTTTAATTGTATTCCAGAGGTTTGAAAAGAAACTATCTGTCAATATAAAGCCTCGCTGATCTTAAATTAGAAATAACTGGAAAACATTTATATATGCACCAATAATCACAAAAGTTCGAACATTGTTCTCAACCATTCATTCGATGTTGGATAAGGCAAAGTTAATGGATTTAAGTGCTTTACCAAGGCAAAGTTAATCTTAACTTTACCAAGTACATAATGTTTTTCTTTTCTCTTAGAAGGACCTATTATATCGCCATTATTGCCATAAACCCTCCTTTCCGTTTAGGACTTATTATGGCTTATTAAAATATCACTATTGAGACGTGCGTGTACGTGATCAATGCCAAAGGAATTCGAGTCAAGATTACCCACGTTTGCTGACTATTCAGCAGGATAAAAATTTCCTGTATTTAATATTCATTGCTTTCAAGAAAAAAATTATTTCCTTGAGCCGACCACCTTGGCTGACCTTTGCCTTTTATGCAATTCGGGAAAGCAATTTCCAAGAAGCAATTTCCAGCACCATCGCGTCATGCACATTCATTATGGTAATATTGTTTGAGCGTGCTTTTTACTCGGGCTACCGTAGGTAGAACGAGTTGAAAAATTAATGGGCTCGGTTTTTCCTTTTGCATGGCGAGTTTACGAAAATCACATGTGGGCGGCACGAAGTCTTCGAACGAATCCGAAATCGTCCTAGGATTGTTTCTCGCACGGGTGTCACGAACAGGCCATAACACCAAAAATTAGGCGTTACAAGCTGAAACGAGATAACTGTAGCCCGAGTGAACGCCTGAGCAGGCGTCTTGGTAAATATACTTCGTGACAATGTTGCAAAAGGTGTAGTTCCACACATCATTAAAACAATAATAAGAACAAAGATGTTGACGTCAGAATAGTAAGTTTCATTCCAAAATACTGAATGACATAAAGCACTTAACTGGCTTCACCCAGGCAAGATATTTTCTATGGCACGCCATTCTGTCTGGTCAGGATCATATAAACACTTCTCTAATTCTAAGAGTTTACCAGTTCACAATCAAACGTATATCAGTGAGTGGGAGATCTAAATCACGTCGTAACGATTCTATTAAGAGTAATTCCACTCGAGTAAGAATTTGATTTTCTTTGACTTACCTGAAGGCTTTCCATTGATAAAGAAACAACTTTCAAATTGTTCAGTAATAACAGAGTTTCTGCGTCACCCATACTGAATAATGTGAGTGAGCTTTTTGAATACACGGCAGGCGTATAGAAGGCGCCTAGTATGGCTACATTTTTGAAACTGAATCACGTATCTTCATTGTATGTCGTTTAGTAGTCTGTTGACATATTTCATTACAAAACACTAGTTCTACGTTCAATTTAACAGTCAATTTGATTCAAAGTACAAAATATTTTCATAAACTATAAATCACGATTAGTACTATATTCAAAATTCAGTAGCCACATATAGTTATAAGTCACACTACACAAAGTCTTCCAAAGGTTCCCGGTATGCCTTCTTCAGTTCTGACAGCTGTCTCGCTTCCAAGAGGCAATGAAAAAATTGCCGTTAAGTTTTGGTAACTGACGTCACTTGAAAAGGGGTTATTGAAGGCGATAGTAATGAAATGTGCTCAAATTCAGGTTCCGATATGTCTATACGATGGTTTCCGTTATATTCCAGCTAATTGTGCTACATAGTTGTTTTGCCAGAAATTTGACGCGTTTGCTCAAGATAAAGACTTTAGTTAGTCAATTTTCGGAATGTTCGGTCAAACATGGCAATCAACATCATGGTCTGTCAAAAATTGAACCTAGTTAAAAGTTAGCTAGAAAAACTGTTCCATATGATGACCAAGAATCATCGTGTTCTAACAACCGCGCATTGAATGTCATGCCGTAACTACCTATAATAGACAATAACATTTCTCGAAGCTTCGAAATGAGAGGTTTCATCAAGTCAAAAAGTCGAGAAGAGTTTTTTTTAGCCGTTAAATATTGCATGCTATGTTGTGTCAGGAACTTGCCTTACGGTGAACACTCCTATGCTTCCTGGAAAGTCGATTGGGCCAGTACGGAAATACAGTATACAGCATATACCCGTGATGTGGCCGTTCCGTTCCGCTAACATACAAACGCGCGAAACTAAGAGATTGACACATTGTGAGAGATCGTGTTATTCTTGTCACGAGACATGTATGCATGTATTTCTCTCAAATCCTTTTAAAGGGTATTCTTTAATATCTTGCGTCTCAAAGAAGAGCAGAGCCCTCTTAAGGAAGAGCAAAGCCCTCTTACTATGTGTCACTCGATTCGACATGCAATATTATGACATCCACCTACACTACCATGGTAAGTATTGCCTCTAAAGACGTCACATTAATGATCGTCGTTTGAACGTGCTGCTTTGAAATGTCTCGTGAGAAAAACACAAGAAATACTGTTCTACATAATAGCAAAACAATTATTAAAATGCAAATGTCGTCATCAAATCAATTAATTCATGCAGTTTTGAGTTCTGATCGATTTCTCGGTGATTCTAGTATCCTCGCGGTATTTGGCAGGCTTGTACCAATGCTATCACAGCAGAAGTATCTGGATGAATTTGTATCGTTTTAATTTAATCGAAATTTTTGTATTAAACTTGTGGTGGCTACGAGTCATAGCCTATGACGTTTACAGTCTTCTTAAAGGAAATGACAAATGTTGGTCTAACTGCTAGTAGAGGCAAAGGCATATTTTGACATTCGACGTCTTCCGGCCAATCATGCACGGAAGTTTGAAACCCAAACAAAAATGCAATAAAATTCACTAGGGTTGGCATGCCGGCAGTGTATCTACAACTACAACTCTGTCTCCTCCAGGCTCTATACAATTGCTTTATATACGTAACCACAATTCAAAAGCATCCATGATGAGTGATATGACGACATAAACTGGTAAATATTTGTAATGGCAACTGTTGCTTTGAGCCAATTAAACATTGTTATAAGTTTTCCAGGAGTTTTTTATCGACATGGCGTAAGTTACGACGCATTATAAAATAGGAAGAATATTACAAACTTCCCGGAGTTACTGAAATGTTTTTTTTTCGAATATATTGTACATCCAGATATAGCTCGTATCTCTGTTGCCTAGTGATGCAATTAATCACTTAAAACTTGAAGCAAATTATTCATATGTGACTTCAACCGCTCAAGTGCCTCGTGTGAAAATACTACGCTTGGATAATTCACTTTAAGCTTATTCTCTAGTCTTGAGAATTACTAACTCGATTTCTTTTATTTGTACCATCAAAGGCCGCATTTTACATATGTATGTCGCGTGGAAATATACTGAGATTGTTGCATAGCTTGACCCCAAAAATATATCGATCACGTCTAAAATATAAGAAGAATCAGGGTAGCATTCTTCCTCGCTAAAAAAACTCTGACGGTCTGTCAAAAAATGTCGCCAATGGTGGTGCTGGAGATACTAAATATTAAGCTTTGCAGGAGATACAAAATACTAAATTTAGGGTATAGAGACAAGTTAAGAATGAGAAATGCCATGTCTTTTATGCCTCTCTACAGCCCCTCCTCCCTCTTGAAAAATTGCTTTCTGTTTGTTTGTTTGTTTGTCTATAGTATTAGTCTGGTATAAGAATCAGTCGCAAACTCCCACAATATACTCTTCTCATAAGAACGTCAACGTGGAAAGCCTGATCGAAGTTTGAATTACTCAGTTTTGCGGAGCCAATCAAACTCCGTGTGACATCAGGACTTCCGCGTTTGACGTCATGATGAGAAAAAGCCATTTAGCGACCCTTTTGTTTATTAGGGAAAAGTCAGGGAAAGATTGAGTAATGAAATTTCTTTCTTAATTCTATTGCCCCAATACGTCATGATCCAATTCTACGTGAGGACATCCCCCTGAGTAGCGTAGTCATACATGTTTATATAACTATAGGTGGGCGATATCATCGATTACCTAGTTATATAAACATGCGCCGCGATATGTCAACTGTCCTCGAAGGTTCTTAGGTGAGAGCATGCCTTGAAATATTGAAAGTTTCAATGTTGCGTCCGAAATAATATGCTTAGTTTGATCATGAGTTCAACTTTACTTCAGAACAGTGAGTCCACGTCTGGCCTTGCATGCAACATTAATGGCAATCTGAATAAATAAGAAACGATAAATATGGCTCTGCATTTGTAACTCTACTTTTGAACTGCATGTATGTTTAGAACTAATTATCCTGAAGATGTAAACTCAAACCGAAAAAACGCGGTTCATTCAAATTTTTAACCTTGGCAGGAGCGCCAGAACCACGGGGGCAGAGGGCGCAGTGCTCCCACTGATTATTGCCTCATACGTGGGCGACTGACTGGGGACAGACCTTTGCTAATAATAATATCAAACATTCACCATTTGACCTTATTATTCATCCTACATCTGCGCTATAATTACGATGCTCTCCGCATTAAAACCAACTTATAATGTTTTTGAAAATGTTTTCTGAAAAGTTATGAAAGTTTTACTGCAATTTCTTGCCGGTCGGCTTAGAGCAACTGATGTCTGAGATGTCTGATGATGATATTTTGCAGTAAATCTCGAGCTCTCGCGTGTCGGAAGAACACAGCGCGAGCAAAATAAAGAGTTAAATGACCTTTATTAGAACAGTCTACAACAAATAATTGAGCGACAACAGCATGCCTCATATTAGAGTTTCTTTATATTAGTATTAAAGAGGTTACTGTTAATTTCATTAGAATCGGCGCCATATTGCTGCTGCCGAAACGTGGGCGAATAAATCATTTGTATATTTTGAAATAAATGACGGTAGTCGAGAGTGGGACGGTAAACAAAGAAACACTCAAAGCTACATAACTACAGGACGCCATTTCATATTTCCCAAATTTCCCTCTTAAAATAAAGATTTGTGTGTCACGAATAATAAGTTTTTATATCCCCGTTTAATCGTCTGAACATGGCATCTTTTTAAATGTTTTTTTCCATGACACGCTAAAATAGTAGAATTGTTTAAAATAAAGCATGTTTGTTAGTAAGACATTGTCAAATAAAGTTAATAAACTTTTTCGACTGTATCATGATAGCAATTTGAGCCAGGCATTCGGTTGACCAGCGGACTGCAGTGTATTGTAGCTATTTATGGAAAAAATCTCGTATTCATTTTACAAACGGTAAACTTGCTCGCAAATACAGACAGTACACTTGTTAGGGAAGAAAGTGGCAAAGAAAACGATTTGCAGTTTTGCTTGCTCGACACTATTGGTTGACAAAAAAGACGTGCTAAAGTGATATGAGCCTCTCATACGGTTGGCCGGCGGATTGAAGCATTTTAAACCCTGTTAATATCAAAAGAAACAATTCTAATGTTGCTTTTATCGTACAAACACTAAACAGAACTATTAAGTTCTTAGTACATATCTGACATAAAAAATGAATTGTCTTTACAGACGATTTCTGCCAGGCAAAATTTGTCAATGAGACATAGACAATATAGGGTACGCCCACACGAGCAAATGAAAAATAAAACTAAAAATTTGTCACATCTGAGCTTGTGCTAGAACACGTGCTTATCTGTAAACAATGTGCCAACTGGGGTTACGTAATGGAAAAAAATACAATTGACATCCTTTAAATTTTAACTCCTTAAAAAATCGTTCGAGGTCAACATGAAGATTTCAATCAGGATGCGCAACAAGTTGCAGTGTATTTTGTCACGCATTGTTATTTCGTAACCCGTGGCAACTATTACGTATTCGAAGGAGACTACTTGACCCGATCTTAGCTACCTCAGTGTAGGAAGACGGGAAGAGTATAGATCAGCCGGCCCGATGACTCTAGATCACTTCCTACTGTTTTCAATTCGGAACAAAATGGTCTTTCTTTACTGGCTAAATTTAGAGCGCACGTTCTCTTTGATAAAATGACGTGCCGTTCCTGACTTGGCATGGGAGCGTTTAAATGACGTATAAGACTGTGCTAATGAGTTATCTTACATGACCAAAGATCATGACACAATAATTAGACGCTTGCCCACCGGATGATGAAATTTACGTGCAGTATTACTTCGGATTGTTTTCGTTATTCTCACTTTTCATATCCGTTTGCTGATAAGGCTAACAACCAGAAACTGTAATCAAAATTTTGTCTGCCACGCTATTTGGTCGTTTTACACACGTACTGTTGTTAATAGCGTTAGGATCTGGTGAAGTAAATTAAAGAGGTGGCCTTTGTCAAGTCGTTAAGGCAAGATTCAGCTTTGTCCTTGCCTACTAGGCTACTGGTGATTCAAATGACCACGCTACGGTCGTTCAAACCTACAGAAATTGACTCTGATTGGATCTCTTTGAGAAAAAAAGATCTGTGATGTTATGGCCGATTTAAATCCCTTGAGAAAAAAATCTCAAAAAAGGCCAGCTCTTGGCATCACACGTGCTCTACCGCCTCTCACTTCACATATAATCACAACTGTTGACAAACATCCACTTCCCTCGCCTTATATAGAATAAATTTGCTAGTTAACTTTGCTATTTTTGAAATTGAACTGAACTGGTTTTTGAATCGAACTTTTTAATCGGACTCTTGAAAGTAGGCACCGCTTTTTGTACGAAAGTTTCTAGTCGGACATGATTGCCCAGTTAGAATCGTTTACCTAACTACCCAAAATACACTGATATGTACGAGTTTGATTACTTTGATACCAGTAAGTGACCCCGGCCCGTTTGATCCTAATCGCAACAAAAAGGAAACGGACACTTTTAATTTTCTTGAGTCACGTTTTGTAGATTGTTGATATAAACAGGGTTAGTAGATTACCACTGTAAGTATTTATAGAGTGGGTGAACTTGCCCTTGTAATTTTACACTATCTAAAAGTCGCACTCAGAGCTTTCTCAATCGGGTAATTCGATGAGGTAAAAAGTTACTTTTCTTTTGTGTTTCAATCGCCGCCGAGTTTTGTTGCTAGTGATTCAGTTCATGCATCTGGCTTTAAAGTGATTAAAAAATCGATCGATATTTCAGTTTTTTCTTTATCAGTTAGGGTATCAAATAGTTCGTGAGCAAAATATTTGCATATTTTCTTTTGAATTGAGAACAGTCACATTGAACTAATTTATTTATCTGTTAAAATTCTAAAGAAAACATGCAAATATTTCGCTAGCGAACTGTTTCTATGTAAGTGGAAATCCAGCCTTAATTGTACTAATTTTCCCTCCAACTTTCCACCCAGAATAAAAACATGCATTAAATTAGGCATGCTCAGTTTAGAACAAAAAAACTTCCCAGCTAATCAACACTGATCATGCCGAGTATGCAAAATAGAGTTTCATTTGAAGCTCTTTTACAGAATGCTATAAGAAGATTTTAAAACAGACCTGACTTCACATAATGGACAAAAGAATGAGTACGTCTGAGCCGTGGTTTGAGAAGCCATACGAGTTTCCCGGCGTTTTTGGAAAGCAAGCTTTGCTGATTAGTATAATTTATGTTTTTTTTTAAAACTCTTAGCGCTTTTGCTTTATAGCACTTTGAGAGTCAGGCCGCCTTAAAAATATCAGTGCAGCCAGTGATTATCTACTTAAATATATAGCGTGATTGAATAGCATCCTTTGCTTTGCCTTAACTACACCGGAATTTACTAGCGAAGCTATTTTTATTTTTTCTATCACGATATTGCTTTGGTAGCACTTAAACTGTCCAGCCTCCTTCCATAATTAACTTTCGCTTTTCTTTATACTTCGCAACTTTGTATCAGATATGACAGATATAGCCTCAGTGCGTCTCACAAACAATCGGCCGGTAAGGCTTAACTTTACATAATAAAAAGCTTTTTTATTGTCTGTTGAATTGGCGACGTTTTTAAGCAGTATTCTTTCGAACAGTTTGAGACTATTACGACACGACAGGGGACAAAAAAGCGCACTTCTGTATTTGCTAAGTCATGCATTTAGCGTTGGCAAGGTCGACAAAAAATTGTCGCTAAAGTGGCATAATGTGAAAGGAAAAACAGTAAAGCAGGTCCCAAGGGTGTCCTTGAGTATTTGTTGCAAATATACGTTCCAAAAAGTGTACATTTCAATTTATTTTTGCCGAAAAAAAGACAAATTGTAACATCAGATACACGTGTGTGAGAGAATGAGAAGCAAAACAATGGCGAACCATATATGGGCCTTGCGGTCGGTCGGTCACATGACCTAAGAGCTTTGAGAATAGTATTTATAGAACACAAACATGGCGAGAGGGCGAAAATATAAAATGAGTTGACGATAGTTCGGCGGTGAATTTCGCTGTGAAAACACACCGTGCGGGAACAATGTCGAAGAAGTCGGACAGTGGAAGGACATTCCATATCTCTGTCATAGGTTTATCGGGTTTAGATCACGAGAAAAACTTGTACGGCGTCGGGAAATCTTGTCTGTGTAATAGGTTCGTTCGTCCTCTAGCAGACGAATACATACACGAACATTCTTCTATATACAGCGGTACCGACTTTGCGGGCCGTGTTATAAACAACGATCACTATCTGTATTGGGGAAGTGTTATTAAGCAATCGGACGATGGCACAGACCTTACGTTTCAACTTATCGAGCAGACGGAATTTATCGAAGACTCTAGCCTGACAACATTAAGCCGAGGTGGACAGATCACATCGTACCCCAAACGTTGTACGGCCGTAAAGCTTCAATCCCAGGAGAAATTGATGTACATAAGTCGAGATCAAGTTGCCTTGCAAAATGATTACGAACAAGTCCAGCTACCCGGGGGAAAATTCAATGTTGACGGCTTTGTTTGCGTGTATGATGTGTCGTCTCGGGGCAAAGCAGAAGATCAGGAAATGTTATACGCATCGTTACTAACCGTTCTACAGAAGACGAAAAAACCGATCGTAGTTGCTGCTACGAAGTGCGATGACTTACGAAAGAATTCGCTCGACGATTGCCACAAGCTCTTCACAAGTAAGAAACTTACGAACGTGCCGATTATCGAAGTTTCGGCGCAGGAAAATGTGAATGTTGATCTAGCGTTTCTGTTGCTGGCCCAACTGATCGAAAAGGGTCGAATTAGGTCGCGAATAACGCCGTATAGTGAGGCGATACAGTTACAGAAGGAAAAAATTAACAGTGCTTTAGAGAAGTACCAAAAACTTGTCGAGAAGCAAGTGAGTAATTTCCAGTCAATATGGAAGAATATGAAAAAAACTTTTGAGACCGGCCCAGAGTATTTGGCAGTTCGGGATTTGTGTGGCATTGACACTTGTAAGAAAATTTTCAACAAGCACATACGGCGTTTAAAGAAAGATGCAGAGGATGTCAAACTAGCCGAATATTTGATAAAGATTCCGGCCGCTTTGAGCGATCTTTTCCCAACGATTCATAGCGTCGATGTATTTCATCAGGACTGGTCGAAGTGCCAAGCGGCGATAAAGGAACATTGCCACTTTGATAAGTGGTTTAGGACACTTTCAAACGGCTCGTCATGGCAGGATAGCGAGAACTTGACCAGTAAGGACTTTCTCGTCCCCTTCGATGTTTTGACAAGCGAGGAAGCAGAAATATGCTTTGATAAGCATGTCGAGAAACTGAAAGAGGCTGAGCTATGTTCTCGAATGAAAAAGGAATTCAAACGTTTGTTGCAATTAACCCCACAGATTCAACCTGGTACCCCTTGGGACGACGCGGTTTTGCTTTTGAAAAACGAGGAAAGCTACAAGTACCTCAGCGACCACGATAAATTGGATATTTTTGAGCACTACCAGGTCGAAATCAGGGAACAGGGCCGAATAGATTTACAAGAATTGCTGTTCGAATCCGCAAAGTTGTTTGCAAACTTCGGGCCGTCATGTCGTCCCACGGTTGAAAAATTGCATCAAATATGCAACGAACTACAGAAGGACGAAAGGTATCGTCGCTTCGATAAACTGCCCAACGAGAGAGACACGTTATTGTGGAATCACATCGCCTTAATACACAGTCCGACACGATGTTTGTCTGGCGAGGGGAAATGTATGGATGACCTTATTCAGGGTATCGTCTCAACGACTGATCAAAGGTAGGGACGCTTTGTTATTTATGTCTGACACATACTAAAATACTTCAGGGTCATCCGGCAAGTTCTTAATTCGAAAAAATCACTTTATTATACGTTGTAAACTTGCATTAATTGCTCAATTTACAATAGAGATTCCCGAAATCGTGAACTCTGTCAATATTTCTAAAGTTAAGCACCATCTGTTTCCATGTTTATAAAATTCTTAGCTTGAAAACACACCAATATTTTTTCCTAATTAAATACGTTTACAATACCACCCTTACATCTCCTTTAAATTATAAATATCTTAGCGGTTTTGCGGCCGAAATATTAAGATGTAGTTGTACACATGTTCAATTAATTCGCGATAGGAATTCTCTGTTCGGAGCGACAATGAAAGGCCACATATCTGAGATTTTTTCTTCGTGTTTGCAATAGCGGCATTTACTGTCTGGCTTTGTTAATGAATATACAATATTTAGACTATCCTAGAGTCTGTAGAAATTTCTCTACGCGCGCCGTAGAAATTTACACCTTGTGAATGAAATACGATCGTTGAGTGATGAAATGTTGTTTTGAAATCAACATGTTTAGGAATGTTCGTACGAGGCGTCTCAAAACAAACTTGTACATTTCATTTCGATGTCATCGTTGATGCTTGACAATACAAATGCTCTCCCGAGCAAATTATAATCCTTTTAAGTATAAATAGTAGCGTGGCAGCAACGTATTGAAAAGGAAAGTAAATTTTAAGAGGCCATTTGGAGCTATTTTTGTCGGCACTTGTGAACTGAAATTGACTAGTTTAGGTATTGTGTCGCGTGTCATTCGCCGACCCTTGTCGATTTCAATACATTTTTTGTTTACATTTGAGCCGAATGTGACGCTAATTTTTCGCGATAAAGGCATCGCTCGCGTTCTATCGCTTTGTTTTGATTTGACTACGAGATAAACTTGAATGTATCGGAAAAACGCCAGAGTCACTAAGTGGCCACATCCTGTATCAAATTGTTAGTAAACTAAACGAAACATTTATTACCATATAGTTAAATAAATACATGACGGGCGATGGTTGTTTTCGATTTCCGATGTTGCAATTTTGCGACAATAGCGCTAGGATGGTATTTTAAATACACTAAATTTTAATAGAATTTTCCGGCTAAACTTATCTTTGTTAATTGCTCTTCCAAATCTAGCATTGGACAGCGTTTTTTCTCGCTTTGTGAAATCCCACACTATTTTGTCAATTTAGGAATGAAACATGCCATGTAACTCTCAATTAATCCCCTTATGAAATGTCTCTTGAAGCTCATGATTTATCATGTGAAATTGCATGTGAGAAATTTCACTTGCTAAAGATATATGGTGTGTTAATTATTTATCCTATTAAGAAGCTTCTCTAATCCTCTAAAACTCATGAAGTTTCTGCTTGCATCCCATAGTTATATTGGCCATATGGCTTGATTACTTTTGTCAAAAGGTGCCCCCTCAGAGGTATAAAACCAACATTCTAACAGTCAGAAATTGCCCATAAGCATGACGTCATTACCGTTGTCATGGTAAGAATGGCGATTCAATATGGCCGACATTTTACCTATTCACGCATTTTACTCGAAAACAAGTTCGGTTACCCCAATTTTTTATTTTATAAAAAGTTTTCTTACAAAAAAATGGGAAATTTGAACGAGTTAAAAAAAATTCTATAGAGCCAAAATTTTTAAAAATTAAAAAACGTGATTTTTCGTTATAGAAATTTTTTGGCTCTATAGAATTTTTTTAAACTTGCTCAAATTTCCCATTTTTTTGTAAGAAAACTTTTTATAAAATAAAAAAATGGGGTAACCGAACTTGTTTTCGAGTAAAATACGTGAATAGGTAAAATGTCGGCCATATTGAATCGCCATTGTTACCATAACAACGGTAATGACGTCATGCTTATGGGCTATTTCTGACTGTTAGAATGTTGGTTAATATATCTGGAAAATTTCATTTCGTTTAGCAAGTAATTTCCTGCCAAAAATTTCAATCTAAATCATTAGTTTTCAATATTCTTAAAACTGTAGGGAGCCACCTTAAGAAGCTTCTCTAATCCTCTAAAACTCATGAAGTCTCTGCTTGCATCCCATAGTTATATTGGCCATATGGCTTGATTACTTTTGTCAAAAGGTGCCCCCTCAGAGGTATAAACAGCAGTGAGAATATGTAGTTTTTTGTGATGTATTGAAACCACCTGTTAGACAGGTTTATTTATATGATTTGCATTAACTAAAAAGTGAGAATTGAGTGAAAGATTCATACTAAATTGGAGCAAACTACTTAAATCCTGATTTTAATTAAAATTCTCACATATGTATTGTAATTGCCACATTTCTGGTGTTCATATGCATTGTATTTTTGTGCATGAAATTGCTTTCCGTATGCATTATTAAGTTGGCTGACTTGCTGTACACAATAGCTTATTAGGAATTGCCAAGGGCAAGGAATTTGCCTGAATATTACCTAAATATTATTTCAAAATATCCCCATTTCCAAACTCTATCTCGATAACGATATTTAACTGAAAATGTTTAACCACACTAGCACAATTTTTAGTGATATTTTTGCCTTTCCTGATTATTTACATGATTTCTTTATATAAGCTGTGTATTGCATAATATTGAATGTAAAAATATGCAATATCCATATGAAATAACAAGGTGATTAGGCACCCTGTACTTTGTAGTTCATCCATTTTTATGACAACAATTTGGATGGTTGTTTTTAATTTCCTGTTGCTAGAAGCTGCTAATTAATTAACCGCAATAGTCTAGACATTTGTTGACCTGATCTGAAAATTAGTTTGTTCATAAGTTGAATTGTAATTACATGGCAAATTTATGATGTAATAACAGGTACAAAATCTCTTCATAAGTAATATGTGAGTTTATATGGAATAACTAAAAGGACTGGAAACAATTGTTAAAGAAATAACCCATTCACAAAATTTGATATGGTTTCATCAGAGAATCAAGAAAGCATGTGATGAAACACAAGGAAATGTTTTATTAGTAGTTGCAGGCTTGCAGGCCTAATACTCAATACCTGGCTTTAAGGGTATGTTATGGAGCTGTATTTGGAAGTTTACATGCCTGCAGCTTTAGCCTAGTTTAGACTTTAAAAAAAGTATGTTAAACAGCACATCTCCTCTATGGCAATACATATTTTTTTAAACTTAATCATGTTTGGTATGAACCTAATTAAAAAAGTGTGAAAGAAGTGCTTTGCATCAAGTGGAACTTTGACTTTAGGGTCATACATGCACTCAACATAAATATTTAGAAAATGTTCATGACCTTGGTCACAACTACAAAATCCTCTGAAAATATCTTTTTATGTAAGTTGTGTTGTTTAAGCTTCCCATAGAAGATACTTATAACGAATGTTCATTATTTCCAACAAAACCTTTATTAAACCCGGAATTAAACTTCAGTATAATTTTTGGGGAGATTACCTATTTGAAAGGGCTTTTCAAAAAGGATTTTAAGATAAAAATATGCCCTGGCAAATTTTGTACTCTTTTGTACATCTAATCTTTGTGTTTGCTTTGACCACTTTAGTTTCAAGTGTTAAAGAATCTTTAACATACACAGCTGTGCACATGATATAGGATACATATTATCTAGCTTGTTTACAAAGAGAGACAGCCCAGTGTTTACTGTATTTCTCCCAGTTTATTATTATCTTCATGTTTCAGCAGGCTCAACCATAGGGGTCTCAACATTTCTGTCTGATATAAATGTCATAGCACTTCATATTATTTATATACATCACCAAAGGTTTATCATTAACACATGTAAATGTAAAGGCAGCTGTGAATTTTAAGACATATTTATTTAATTTATACTTAAACAAATTTAAAATTCTCCCAGGACCCTTATTTTTTCAAGAAGAGGTGGGTGGGGGGGTAAATGAAGAGAAAAGAAAAAAAGGGGGGGTGGGGGTTATAAGAGAAAACAAAAGAAGGGGGATTTTCTGTTTCACTGTATTTTAAACTTATATATTGAATAACTATTTGTTGTTTGGCTAATTTTGTTATTAATTTTACCTGTGTTTTCATGCTGCCGAGAGATTTAATGAGACTAAAATTATAAAACTCTTCAAACTAACCTAAAACAATTTTAGAAACTTGCATTTCCAAGTGTGAAAATATTTTAGTAGGTGCAAATTTTAAAGTATATTCATCTAGAAATATAAGGCAAAAGACAACAGTAAATGGCCCAAATAGTAAACATTGTCGCCAACACTTAAATCAATGAAAATAAGCACAACATTCCATTTTTGTTTTTTGGAAATTTTCATTCCTAAAAAAGACAATAGTTTTAGGAAGAGGAGATCTCCGGGATCTGCCCACGCCAGGTAAAAGCACGTGTCGTAATGCAGTTTGACAGTATGTCTGCAATACTGAACATCTTAGGTATGTGAATTATGCAGCATTATTGAAATACTTTCAAGATGAAATTATTCTTAAAGGCTAAAGCCGAACTTAATTAAATCTTTGAACAAAAACTAGGGGGCTTATTTCTAATGATTACATGCATATATAACGCGAACCATTGAAAACAAAGATTAAACCAGCTGAGAGTCTCTGTGTGTGAAACAATTTCTACAAGGAAAGAAGGAAACCTCTTGACGCAAAGCACAGTGGTAAATTCCACCATTTCATTGTTGCGCCCATTTAGGGTTGTGATGATTGAGAGCAAATATGGTGAAGAGTTTCGCAAAGCCGCGCCTTCGAAGTTTACGTCAAAGCATTGTTATTCACTCTACTTTATTTTGACAACTACGTGTAGAAATAATAAACATCTAAAAATAAGGGATCTTTCAAAATTTCAAGGACACACATCACATGCTGATGGTCTCACTTGAAAAATAAAAAGTAAAAAACTTCCGATGATTGACATTGAAAATATTGTCTTTTTTAGTTTCTATGCGTCCTTAATCAAAGACAAAACCTTCATTTTCAGTTTTCGCCAAGAAACTCATTTCCCAGTTTTAGATATCACTTATTGGACTCTTAGCAAATCATGGTCTTAAAGTATGATGTTCACTGTGTTTATGTTTACCCGTTAGTTTCGTTATCTTTTCAGACATGAAGCCAGTGGTAACATGCTGATATTTAATTAATGACTTAGTAGTTTATAATGGCGTCCAACAGCTGGCTTTTAAGCATACTGAGTATGAAAAGGCTAGATATTTGGAGCAGACACCTGGGTCATGTTATGACAAAAGTTAACAGACACAATGGAGCCAGCATTGTAACTTCTTGCATAAACTAACCTGGTTGACATTGAATGTCAAAACAATGGATGATTTTGCATCTGTTTTAGTTTTCTGGCTGGGGGGGGGGGGTGTGGGTAAAGGAAATCTCAGTAAATTCCCAAGCCATGTTCATCCAAAATGATTTATTGTGTGAAGGCTATACGGGATTAGTCTATTTTACCCTGCCCAGGCGTGATCTCAGCTCTTTAGAAGATTAAGTCAATGAATCAGATGTTTCAAGCGTATTGTGTACCTGATCGCCATTAAAGAAACTGGGTGGGACCCACCTGCTCGGCAGACGGCAAAGCCCTCGATTATATAAAGGGCATATTCAATCATATCCTCCGACAGCCATATTTGCATGATCATAATGTCCTATTTTATCAGCTTACCTGACTTTGACTAATGCTTTTTAGACTTTGAATACGATAAAAGGTTTTAGCAGCGTGCTTATATTGTCCTGAGCATAGCCAAATTGGAATGTGCTAACCACCAAATTCTTGAATGTACTAACCGTAACTAATTGGCTATGAAACCCTGCAGGCTTATCTTCTATTCAGACAATAATAGCATTTGAATTTTGATGTTTTGTTTCAGTTTCCCCATTTGCCATGGATTAAATTTTTTAATCCTTTTCTAATCCTTGGCAAACAATTTACATAGTGTACCTTGTTGTTCTGTCACGTCTTTTATTAGAAATGACGCATTTCTTGACGCATTTCTTAAAGATTAGGAAATGAACGATTAGGATTGAGTAATTTCCTAACCTTTCATAAAATGGTAAACAATAAAATGTTTTGGTAAACAGTTTGTTTCGAAATGAAATCAAAATTGACCCACTCAGCTGTACTACCGTAATAGATGCTATTTCATCGTAAATATGTTAATGTATAAAGTATTTTCATATCATAACTTATGTGGTTTTATATTATAAAAAGCGGCTATTTCAATACAGATAAACCATCCAGAGCGTTTAACCTTGGGCTCTGTGCGCGCGAGGAATGATGGTTAATTATTGTTTATTTAGTCTTAGAAATCGAAAATTTGTCTTTATTGGAATACAGTGTACCTAAGACAAAAGACACGAGTGCTTAGCTCTAATAGCTGTAGCTTTTTTGATTTCAATTTGGGCATAATAAGTTACAACCCATCATCCCTTTCGCGCCCAGGCTTGAAGGATGAAATGACAGACCGGAAATATATGAAAGATCCGAAGTAGTTACTACTATAAATATTTTATGCGATTAAAAAATGGATAAATTACTTTCCATTTACAATAAATATTTTATGTCTGGAGACTGGCTTTCAGAAACCATTTAATTTTACTAACAAAATCCGAGCAACTACAGTATTTGCCTTGTAATCGACGACGTATAGATAAAGTTTTTTGCTTTATTTCATTGCTTTAGACCGCTGTCATCATTTCTCACTGGTAGCTGCGATACCTTCGAATCAGAAGATAGTCTTGTGACTTTGATCGTGGTTGGTATAAATGGTCTTGCCAAAGAATTTGCACAAGGCGCTGAGGTTAGTTATTTCATGCTGTTCCATTTGATTGTATAAACGCCCATTTTTAGCAAACCGAGATTCGGCGCATTGATCCGAGCTAAGAAAACTCTCCTTCGGAGGACGTATCTCAAAAAATACCACCAAAACACATGTTATGAGTTCTTATAGGTCATCATACTGTATAGGTTATAGCAAATGCATAGAGTGATATATTAGCTTGATAGGAAAGCAGGGCAAATTTTCTGGTTTGAAGTAGATTTTTAGTTAGATTTCTATAAATTTTAAACATCCAAAACGCGACGCTCAAAGAAAGGTCCAAAGCATTACAGTGTCTCGCACAAATTCCTATAAACCAAGACGTTCGTCTTAACGAGTAACGTTACCCTTGGGGACCCACCTCAATACAATGAGTTTTAGCGAACAATCTGCAAGATATTGCTTTCCTTGTACGCATTTCTAAGATGAGTGTATTGTAATTTTAGAAACGCTGTTATGGAGAGCACATGGAGTATCCGTTTGAAAACAAGCTGTATGAACTTGATATCAAGGTCGTAGAGGATGAAGGGAACGAATCCGACATCTTCAGTGAACTCGATGACATCAGCACTACAGGTACAATAAATAACTTGTCAACAACTTTTCTATAAGCAGGAAATTTGGCAATACTAAACACAGCTTGATGTTCACACACGAAACTGCTGAGATATTATGTTTGTTTACGGTTCCTTTAAATGGATTCCACCAAATTGGGTTGTTTTTTTAGGTTCCCCTACTATTTACACTATTAACGCGCTTGCATACTTTTCTTGACCATGTCACGACCTTTCAGACGATAGGCCTTCCCTTAGAATGATCGGCTTCTGTCTATATAGTTAATTTTTTTTCACTTTATTGGGCTTATTTAATCATACGAACGAATGGCAAAATGCGAACGTATAACTACTGAGTGAAGAAGCATAGCTAATATTCTTGTTTGAAATCCAGTTTCGTATTCAAGTACGCGGAACTCTACGAATTACACAGTATACCGAAATGTTTTTGTTTTCACAGTTTTTTCAGAATGTCTGCCAACAGCTTTTGTTTGTTTACACCAGGTCTGTGTTGCGTTTTTTCCTCGCGGGACACTTTCAACTACATTGAGACGTATCTCGAGCGAACAGTCGGAAAATCAGACGATGTTTTGAGAGAGGACGTTCCAATAGTGTTAGTGCTAGCACAGGATCCTCAGGAAAAAGATTCGCAGAAAGAATTGAAATCTAAAGCGCAAGAACTCGTTAACAGGTAAACAAACATTTTATTCATCATGGCTTGACCATCTGTAATCGTCCCTGGATATAGCCGTTCATGCAGTACATCCCTGACCATAGAACGGTCTGCTGGCGGTTATCCGAAATTTTGCCTTTGAATTTGGTTAAAATGCGAAAAATGCATTGCCGTAAAAATGATCCCCGTAAAAATGCGTATAAAATAGCTTTTTCCAAAGTTGCACTCAGAAACTGTTTTCAACCTTCTCGGCAGAATAATACCTGGAGTTTAGATATAATTTTCCGAAAAACTTGCACTTAGATAATAATATAGTTAATGTACAAATGCACACATATACACAATGCACACACTTCACTTTTTTAAAATCTTTTTTAAGAATCAATTCATTCCTCTTTTCAGTCCGTAACAATTTAGTTTTGTGTCCATGCATTTCTGAATTAGTACACTGTCTCAACGTGTGATCTTTATGCTTTCGATTTTCAAGGTATGGCTGTGTGTTTATCGATATCCACATCAGTCATTTCTATCGTGATTTGTTGATCACTGACACCCAAGTTGACGAAGCCATCAAGAACATCTTGGAAGGAATCAAAAATCAGACGAGATCCCGATGTACTTCTGAGGATCTGAAAGAACCTGATCCAGATTTAAGGTATATATACTGGGGGAAAGTTAGTTGTAATTGGGGACAAAAAATGTACGGTTAAAAAATCGGCTGCATTTAGGATGATAAACCTAAACTTTTTCTTTTGGTGAAAAGAAATTGTTAAGAAATCGATTTCCTATAAAGAGGGTAGAGCGGTGTAGGTCTACAACGCTCTGACGTACCCTAAATACAAAGAAATTTTTCATGCAAGACAAAAGTAGTTAATAATTTGAGGTCACCAGCAAGTGTATATGCAAATGACAGTGGTACTTTTTGAAACACGACAATTAATTTCCCATTTATCTCTTTAGGATCTTACTTTGTGCAAACTGTGGCGATCCATATCCCGTCGAGCTTATTCTGGGTCCTCTGTTTACAAACCAGTCGTGTTCAAAATGCCCAGGAAGAAACGACAGCGTTATGTTAGAGACGTTTGTTGGTTCGGAGAAGAAGACAGTTATGATAACATTCACTTCATATCACCGTAAGTCTTGTTTACAATCGCGAACCTGCTTTGTACTCGATAATTCTTCTGCATTTATAAATGACCAAACTTGTCGTATTCAGTAGTGTTCAAGTTCACCAAAATTTTTCAAGTTCACAAGATTTAAAATCAGTTAAAATTTTTCTCGCGTGAATAAACGAGCCCAAAGACTCAAATATGTCACATAAATGAAAATGAAAAATTATCACACTTGGATTGAAAACAAAGGAAACGGCTTGAATTAATACATAAATCTATCTTTTCATTTAGGAGCATACAGTTTAAACTATCAAAAATTCCACGGGTATATTCTTGTCTACTCTGCCGTAAGGTCTGCCTCGTTATCAACACTGAGGTACGTGAAATAGATTGGAAATAAAATCATATGCAGACACGATATATGCATGCAATATTCTCATTTCTGATCTTTGATTTCTAGTGTATTTGCATCGTCCATACCCACCATTCCTATCCAAGTTCTAGCGACTACGGGAAGTTATTCTGGTGCCAGTGTTGTTTTTCATAGCAATGTCGCAAAGACACTGCTCGCTGATGGAACTAACCTTGCCAGCAAACTCTGTGCAAAGTTTCAAACCACTTCGCCACAATTCCAATACCAAGGTATGTTGTTGTCTTATATGTGATAGCTGGTCGGAGTATTTGCATAGCTTGTCCCAAACTCAGCCATTACCTAGTTTGTTTTGAGCTACGAAAAAGCTTCGCTTTCTCGCTAACCTAATGACTAAGATGTAGTTTTCAAATGAGGTTTTTCATTTTAAACAGTTGTAAACTTTTTATGCGTTTTATTTAATATTAATAGCTTTTGATGATACTTAGCTTTGTCCCGTTTGCATTCAAAGTTAAAGTTTATTTTTATATCATTTCTTCAGCTGGAGCATTTGCAGTTTTCTTCAACCGGGTTTGGGAGAAGAAGCGAGAATCCGAGGCCGCTTACGCCGAACACCTGATGACATTTAGCGATACGTTACCACGCAAGAAGCATGATCCACTGCCCGAGGTGCCGCCGTCACCTCGCGACCGTCGACCGAACCGTAACCGAAGCTTAAGCGCACGTCATTACGAATCTCCGTCGCTGATCACTCGGGAGATCCACAGTAGTTCGGGAAGTCTGAATGCAAGGCCTACACCTTCATTCGAGGTTAGTTGTTAATATTGTGCTATTTTTAGAATTACACTGCAGTTCAACTGCAAAATTCTGTAAAATGAAACATTTTGATTAGCTTTCTTAGCAGTTGATGTTGCTGTTTTCAATTGACAGTTCTTGGTCAAATGGTCATTACACGTGGAACTGCTTGCGACAATGAATGATCTGTATTTATATTTCTAGGTGTCATTGGTGGACGAGGATGATCTAAGTCCTTATGCTGTTGTCAAAAGAAACGTTTACCACCCTCCAGCTCCGAACGAGATCAGGCCGCCATTCACAAGCACACCGAATGCAAGTTCCACAGAGGAAATTAATCCTTATGCATCGTCCACACCACTCAGGGCTGAGGTTTGTTTGATAGAATGAATATATGTCCCCCTGCGGGTCCTCGTATTAAATGATAATTCCCTATCTATATAATCCGTAAAAACGTTGTCGAATATTATTGCAAACGCCCCCTTCTGATTGGCTACGCTACTCGCTATGTATTGGTTATGCGATTTCCCTCATTAGACCTCTTTTTGGGGGTATTTCAAAGCGTTTTCATTTCCGTTAATATGGTGTCCCTAATATCAAAATTATGCCAGAATAATTACAATGAAAAGCGCTAGAAATACCCATTAAAGGGAATCTATTACTGTCATTTGAGTCTATTACTGTCATTTGGAAAGTTTTTCTCGGCAAAAGGTATATTAAGGCCCGGTTTACACTTGCAAATTTTCTGTGATCACAGTTGGCATCTTGAAAATCGTAAGTTTCAAAGTATTTAGTAGAAATATCCAAAGGAACTAAAACAGTGGCTAACAACACTGAGCTACTTCATCGTGATACTCCCTGTAAAACATAAACCTCGGGATTTACCTGTGGATTTACCAATGCAAGTTTTCAACTGCGAGCACAGGAACTTTTACAGTGTAAACTATGCCTAAGTATATACGAAGAATTTAGTTCAAATTCTTTGCTTATAAATCTTTCTGGCTTGTTTTAAGATGTTTGCCCAGAAGGATAACATTGTCAACGAGTTTGAGCATCTGTATTCCAAAGTTGACCGAGCTGCGATACTCCGGGAGGTCCATGCGGAAGACCAAATCGCGTCGGACAAACCTGCGTATGTTGATGATATCTCGTACGAAAGTAAGGAGGGATATCGAGGATCAGGCACCTTCGAGACTCCACCTCCAGTACCTATACGTACTATACACGATGAAGACGAGGATGAGCCGGTGTCTGGGGAGAAAGATCCGGGGTATTCGACAATACGAAGTACAACGCGTGATAATCATGACGAAGGCTATTCTACCGTAGAGGAGACATTACAACGTGGGAATAAGAGAGGGAACAAGGTGGGAGACCAGTCTATCAATATATGTGTGTAAACACGCACAAGTCGTTTCAGCTTTTGATTGATGTGAAATACTTAATATAGAAATTAAACATGATTAGAAAACTTGAGCGAAGATCTTAGGCGATGTTGTTATTCACATTTGTGGAAACTTTAAATATTTGTATTTTTCCTTAGGCGCGTCCTCTCAGTGCCGATCCTTTCCAAATGGGAATGAGAGATAAGATCCAGTTCTTTGGTGAGAGAATGGTCCTTCCGTATCCCTCTGCGAACCGCTCGTTCCCCAGCGATAGTTTGCAAAGACTGCGCGACAAGAAAGTGGTACCAGGCCTCATCAGCAGGTTCTCTAACAGCGCGCCTCTGGCACAAATGGAGGTAGGAGAATCTATCTGATGTTATTAGATGTACTACATTTTCAATATTTTGCGTTGCACGTCTCTCTTACCAGCCATTAAGGTTTATAGCTGTTATAGCACATTTTGACATTTCAAATTCTTCTCCCAGGAATCGGAGGTTCCCGATTACGCTTCGGTAAAAGACCTCGAAGAAGTGCGTAAAAAGGCAAACAGACATTCTACCATACCCGAGATTACGAGTTATTCCGACAGCGTCGTCGTCATGCGTTCGACAAGCAAGGAAAGTGCGCGAACAGCAAGGTGAGTGAGGCGGGAAGGTGAACTAGTGTGAATATGGGTGCAATGCGCTGAGATTAGGTACATTATTTGGTTTTCTTTGAATTTTCATTCTTACGCACCATGTAATCGGTGTTGGAAATGTTTTTATTTCGTATAGATCAGCCGACGAGTGTACAATTGCGGAGCTGATGGACAATGCCGCTTGTGCAGCTGCGCAGAAACGGCTTCGTAGCCCAGCGAAACGACAACCATTTCCGGAACCAACTGGAGGTAAGCTAGTACTGTATTTCATAAACGAGAACGGTATAGGCTCTTCTCCATCACATTCACTTTGCCCGTGTCATTGATGTTGTAAGTTAAGCTTTTAAAATTGTTCTAAGTAATTTCAAGTAATTGTAAGGTAAACATTTTGCAGATCTCAATTCACCGAAGTCAGAGCAGCCATCTCCAATGTCAGAACTTCCTCCACCCCATATAAGTTATTCCATATGTTCGGACGACGGCCAAACTGCTGACGACGAGGCCACCATTGATCGCACAAAGAAGCCCCGTAACTGGAGCATTAGAAAACCTCGCAAGAGTTCTCCGATGCCTCCTAGACGAGCCCACGATTTGGAGAAACGATCCCGCAGTAGAAAGAGGAAAGGTATAGACTGGAAGATATCGCTCAAGATCTTCGTAGTCAATTTCCGTGAACACTGCGTTGTCAAATTTTCCGTAGTTTCTTACCTGAAATATATTTTGTGTTTCAGAATCAGACGGAAAGACCGGAGAAAAGAACATAAGCCGTAGCAGAAGTGTTCCTCGGAACTTTAACCCTCTGACGAAACGTTACGAGACCAGAGAATGGATTGCTGTTAAACAGAAGTACAACAGCTTGTCAATGGACACCAGGGTGAGTTCACGTGCCTATTTCTTAATAGAAGGAAAGTTTTCTTCTATGCGTAAGAATGCATGTACATGCGCGTATGATTATATACGTATGTTAAAATGCGCAATAGAAATATTACTATACAGACCCAAAACTATATATTCGCTAATGTCAAAGTCGACATTGCACCAAAGGTAAATGTGGGCCCAAAATGTAAATTGCATTTTTCCTATATTAAGAAATAGCGCTGTTCACACAGGCAAATATGTATTTTTGAACTTTCACGACTAAAATCAAGCCTTTGAGCCAGGACTAGTATGAATATCAACTTATCAAATGTATATTTCTCTCCATATCCCAGGCGATGTCACCTCGCCAAGACGAAGGAGAATCGTTCACGGAGGAGGTATAACACATGCGTATTAATTTTAGCAACTCTTGTTGTATCACCTAAAATACTTTGCTTAAACTTTAAACAGAACCTTTTTCACCTTCAGAAAGTTATCATTTGTAACCATTGTCTCTTTTCTTTGAATAATAGGATACTGAAGACGATACAATGACCAGGAAGGTGAGTGTTTTGAATGTCAGTAATGAACTTTGTATGTTCATTGATATATCAAGAGCATCATTTAAATAGTCCCCGTTTTATTTGTTTAGCGTAAAAAAGACGAAAAGGAGGCGGAGAAGAACAGAAAACGCGAGGAAAAGCAACAGAAAAAGCAGGAAAAACTTCGAAAGAAAAAAGAAGATCAAATGAGGAAGAAAGAAGAAGAATTTCGTAGGAGGTCGAAAGGAAAGAAGAGCAAGTATTTCGGTCAGCTGTTACCTGATATCTGTCCTGAGAACTCTCTCGTTCCTCTCTTTGTCACAAAATGTATCAACTTTGTTGAAAATAGTGGTAAGTTTGGCTCTGTTCATTCTGAGAGAGCCCGAAGGAGGTATTCTTTCTTTTTCTTTCATTAATAAGCATGTATTTTCTATCTTTATCAGGAATGCAGGTCAAAGGAATCTATCGGGTGAGTGGAAACAAAGCCGATGTGGAATCCTTGCAACAAAAGTTTGAAGAAGACCCAAACAAGGATTTCTCGGAATTAGGACTGACCACACATGCCGTAACTGGCGCTCTTAAATCGTTCTTCACCAAGTTACCCGGAGCTTTAATTCCAAGCAACAACTACGAGGGGATTATTGCTGCAACCAGTAAGTTACTTTTGTTTCAGCCTGTAAAATTTTTGCAAACGTTTTGTAACACCCACCAGCTATACAAACGCATCCTGGGGTAAAGCAGTAACCAAAGACTGCCGCCAGTCAATTCTGTTTACCGGTGAAAAGGCGGTTTCCACTAGGCTGCATTTTTGATGGAACGAAATTTTTCACACATCCTACTTTTGAACTTTGTGCCACTGGTTGCACTGCAACAGAGCAATCGTATTTCATTTGAATCAAATATATCCATGATCATTCTCTAATTTTTTCATTCTTCACCCTAGCGATAATGGACGCCAACGAAAGATTTGCAGAACTGCGTAAAATAATGAAACTGATGCCAGCCCACAACTACGCCGTATTCAAAAGGCTCATGTTCCATCTTAACAAGTAAGCTCTTAACGCTGATTACTGCGTGGTTTCTCTCTTTGTGTTTAATTGCAGTTGATATTCTTGATCTTGCAACGAATTCAAAGGTCGAAGAAAAATAATTTCACGTATAATTTTTCGATGAAAACACATTTCGAAAACTCGCCTAAGGGCTTATTTTTTCGTTATTTTCGTTCATAAATATGTCAACTTTTGTACACGTTGTTGAAGACAATCGTACGTTACAAATCAATCATCGAATACCATTGCATTCCTTAACAAGAAAAACCATATGCCTATAGACTATTGCGTAACAAAGCGTTTCATTGATGTGTGTATATGTTCTCTTTAGGGTAACGGAGCATAAAGATGTGAATATGATGGAATCTCGTAATTTAGCAATCGTTTTCTGGCCAACATTGGCTCCACCAGTCATAGCAACAATCGACAATTTTTCCAGAACTATGAATATGTGTCTGTTCGTTCAAACCTACATTGAACATTGCGCTGAACTATTCAAAGAAGATTAACCACGGTATGCTTTAGGACAATTTTGGATCATTGTTTACATTCGTGGTAAAATATTATGGTGGAAATTATTGTTTGTGGAAGATAGTGGATTGTTATGAAAGTCGCCGCCGTTGATATTGGAATGGTTGTGGATAGATTCATAAATCCAATTTGAACGTTTTGTACATCATTGGATAGTTATGGATATTGTAGTCTAAAAAATGGATGACTACAGTGGTGTTGGTATATGCAGATGATCAAGTTGGGATGAAAACATAGGTTGATAGATTGATGGAAAGTATTACTAACGTAACGACACAAGTGGATAGAAGTTTTGAATAATGACAAATGCCCTTTATGGCTGCACTAACCATTAGATATTTTATAGACATCACTAATTTATTATGTATGTGTGTAATATGTAATCACGCAAGAACTGCCGAAAATCGCCACGCGTGGCACTCTGCGTGTCACCCGTCCCTCGTGAACCACGCGTGAGTCAACTTCATTCAAGTATACGAAGCAAAACAAAGTCTTAAACATTGCACAATAATTGAACATTACCTGGAACAATAATTTTAGCTATTTTTGAATGAGTTTTGTGTATTTTTATTGTATATATTTTCTTGCGGAAAGTAATCGTTTTGTAACGAACTGTAGCGAAATTTTAGGGATTTTTTGAGTCGTTTAGGGCTAGGTAAATTGCTAAGATTTAGAATTTAGTCTTGTGCTCTTTTTCGAGCAGAGAGGAAATAAATGTATACATTTTTTACACCTTGGTGTTTTCCTTGTTTGTTTATGCTTTTCACGAAAGTATGAACTTCGTAAATATAATTTTATTTTCAAATTTGATAAACTTTCAAATGTCCATATTTATGGAATATTATCATATACGATATATATAAGCAATGATAAATTCAGTAACTGCTGTGACAAAGACTTGTTGCTGAGTTTTCGCTAGGCACAGGCCACAGGCGCAATGGATTTCCGTTCACTGATATCCACCAATATCCACCGACCGAAAAAGGAAATATAGATTTTGTTAAGGAAACACTGGTAAGTTGTGGCGGGAAAATGGGCGGGAAAGACGAGCGGTTGAACGAAAAAGCAAGATTTTTTACATTTTTTGTCTATTTTATGTAAATTTTGACATATTTTCTTTTGTGTCAACAATAAATGGTAGCTCTAGTTATGTTTGAACTTTGAAGAAATTTTGGAATGCAGAAGACCTTGTAAATATGAAATAATACATGGAAAGTTTGCCATGGAATTCTACAAGGTCCAAGGTATGTAAACTAAATAATAGAATATATTACTGTCGTTTTTTGTACGCAATTGTATGGGGTTATTGATTAAGTTGCATTTATCACAATGAAAGTCTAAGGGCTCAGCTGGGCTTTTCCCACCTGCCTCAGATATCAATATTTACATGTGGAATATGGATACATATTATTAAACTTATCCCATTGTCTTTGTTTAAAAACAAGATACGTTTATTGAAATATTGTATATGTGATGACTTATTAATTAATTGATAAAAAGTTGTTCTGCATTTAACCATTGTTCAATTTTTTGGTCAGGCAAGACTTGAAATGTATTTTTTGTTTGTATCTTAATAAAACATAGTTGTGTATCTTTATTAGAAATATGTATTTGAAGGTTTCTATTAAAATATTACAAAATGTGCACCTGAATTCAGCTTTATATATACATGACACTTAATAGCCATATACCAAAGCACAAAATGGCATAAAGTATAGGTGCACCAACACCCATGTCTTGTGTACATATGTTACAGCTACCATATAAAGTAGAAGTAAGTCAATTTTCTACCTGGGGCCAGTTTTAAGGCTCAAATATACCCTCAGGTGAAAATTTAACTTGCTATTAACAAATTCCCTGAAATGGTTGGATGGTTTAACCATGAAATTCCCAGTTTACCCAAACGAAACATTTTTCAAAAATATGTCTACTAAGTCAGTCATGTTCTGGTCTTCCTTGGGGATTGTCTTTAAAAATTCACGTCTGGACTCTGCATAGTGAAGAACTTCTGCAAAGTCATGATCCTTTGCAACTTCGTAAGCATTGTTTGCAAATTTGACAGCCTTCTGTATGTATTCACAATTCACATCAGGGTTTTGATGCCAATATCGCAAATACAGGTCAGACTTGGCTAGCAGGAAATGGAACTCGTTAAAGCCAGTCATGGGTGCTCCTTCAAAATCTTCAGCTGCTTGTAAACTTTCCTTAGCACTTTTTAAGCTCTGTGGTGATACTGTTTGGTTGAAGTTGATGGCATTAAACTTTGGGGATGAGGCCAGGTATAGCATTGCCAAATTAATGTGGACTCGATGCTTTATGTTTGCAGCAGCTTTTTTATAAGCTATGATGGTTTGTGCATGTCCCAGGGCCTGTATATAGTAACTCTCTGCTTTGTCAATCAGTTCTTCTTTTTTGATAGGATCTGGCTCCTCGCTGGCCAAGATGGTGAGTAAAGATGCAGCATTGCAAAGAAACCATGCTGTAATCCACCCTGGCACGATCAACTGCATCTTCTGAAGAGCATCATATGCATATTTGTAACTTTCTTGGTATTTTCTTTCGGACCGTTTGATGGCAGACCAGGAGTAAAGCTCTTGTACCTGAAATATTGCACAGTTTTTCGCCTGTTTTAATAAGGAATGGTATGACTTGAGGAAATCATATGCCTCTTGATGCTTGTTCTGTCTGTATGCCGCAGCAGTGCATTGGAATGTTACAGCTAATTTCATATCAGCATTAGTGTTCATGGGTGTAAGGACTTTCTCTGCGATTCTATTGATTTCTTGCCAGTTTCCATTGTTTCTCAAGTTCTCCATCAACTGCGCTACCTCCATGTATTCCTTTTCCAGCTTGTCTGAGCTCCATCCAGTTGCACTAATACTCTTGTACACTGCTGGTTCAAGGGCTTCAGATCGCCTCCTTGTGCGAGAACTGTAATCATCACCTAATTTGCCACAGTCTTCTATCATCTTCTCTTTCCAAAGTGGGAAGGGAATTCTGGCAGCTTTTCCATTCACAAACTGATAGCTCTCTGGTTCCTTAGCAAACACTCCCCCCGGGCATTTGGCGACCGACAAAACTATGACGAATACGTCGTGACACACTTCGTATCTCGATGTATCGCGTTTCTGAACAACTGGAATAAAATCAATCTTCCAGAAATGTACGTGATCGGAATCTTTAACCGGCCAAATCATATTCGAGAGAACATTCGAGACTTTGCCTTTGATCTTTTCTTGTTCCTTGACATTCGCTACTTGCCCTTCAACGATATACGTAGTGTCATCGATGCCATAGTAAACTTGACCTCCTTTGTGATTGGCAAAAGCCGAAACGTATTGCACCAGCTTGTTTGTTTTGTTTGTGATTCGGTCGGCCAAGGAATTGCTCTTTGTTGTGTCGTCTTTCAAATGTTTGAACTGTACCGTTTGTCCCTCGCGTAAACAATCAAGGGCTTTCTCTTTGTAACGAAACTCCATACAATGTTCTTCGAAGGTCACCTCGGTTATTTGTTGTCGTTGTCGAAGGAGAACACCGACTTTTTCCCAATCACCAAAAGGGATGGCATTAACTTGACAATTCGTTGGTAGATACAAATGGTACTCCACAGTACAGAATCGCTCTGCTGGTTTAACCACGAACCAAAATCCATTATGGTTTGTATCCTGTAATTTGAATGCGTCAGAGACGGTCGCTAAACCAGCAAAATTTGCGACACTTTGCTCGATTCGTCTAGCTATGTTGTCAATTATCTTTGGATGCGATGCCTGGACGTCTGTGGGCGTATATTTGAGAGAAATGTGAAGTATACCTCCGCAATTGCTGTTAAAGAACGCACACACGACCGATGTAATTTCATTTATCTTTTCGTCCCACGCTCTCGACTTTTTAGTATTGTTGTTGCTCAAATGCTTCTCAAGTAACTCGATCGTAACTGTAGTAGGATCGTTCGTACCGAGTTCAGCATTTCCTGCCATCGATATGGAATTTCTCAGTCATTTTCCTCTTGCAAACGCCACTTATCACTGCAAATTTATTACTGTTGTACCGCTTGGCAACTCGTGTTTACAAAGCTTTAAATATCTCAGTTATTTTGTCCAGGGTTTTCCCCTGCCTATGTTTACCAGTGACATCATGAACTAAAGTGTTCCGGTATTGGGCAATCCCCTTTAACACGTCATATTAGAACTGCGGTCAAAGTATTCGTAGTTTTGAGAATCCTGTGCTGGAGTTTGGGAGAGTGGATTTTGCGACAAGTGTTCAGAATGAATTTTTGGGGAGTTGTATATACCTTCGCCCGTCGTAATATTTCTACAATGTGTGCATGTTTGTCTTGGAAACAGTTAACTAGAGAAGGCTTGGCCATTAAACAGAAAGTGACACTGTTCCCTTATGATCTTAATATGAAAGAGTGAGAGGTATTATTGTAAATTTTTAATTTGTTATGAATAACAGTGTGTCAATTAAGTCCAGATCAGTGGTCAAGTCTAACGATCGAGTCATCGATTTTTCCTCGACAACTATGTTCTTTTTCAATGGTATTTACTGCCTATAATATACTGTTTGCCTATGCACCATCTCTTTCACATCCCGTATTTGGTGCTATTTATATGCCATTTGTTCACGGACCACATTTGAAATGTGTTGAAATAATCGGAGAACCTACGTCACATGAAAAAAGAATGCAAGGTCTCTTAATTTTTGCGAGCAGTACGAGGTGGAAGCCTCGAGGTTTGGGATTGCTTCAGCTATAATTATAGTGCTGTTGATCTTAACTGGATTAAAGGCACTTTAACAAAACAAGTATCGTTCCATCTTTTAAAGACACGCCAATATTTCTTGTAAGTCTTAATTTAAAATTTTAAAAGGCGAGGGGATATAGTCATTTATCAGCGTGTGTTAAAGTTTTAATTCATATAATGACTATGGCCTTGGTTAAACGTCGCATTTTGGTAATGTTGAAAGCCGGTTTTCCCCTAGTAGGAATTTTCGATGGAACCAAATTTTCCGCTCGATTTTCTTTTCAATTGTTTCAATTGTGAAGGGAATCCACTACGGTCGAATTCTAACAATTGAAAAGAAAATCGAGCGGAAAATTTCGTTCGCTCGAAAAATTCCGCCTAGTGGAAAACCGACTTAACAGCACCTTTAGGTCTATGTTCGAAAAATGAAATCACAAGTGCGTTAGTAAATAATATGATTTATTTTGGCATTTGTTTGCAACCGTGTTTCAATTTTAAAGCTGATGGCGATGCCATTGTGAATTTTTGGTGCCAACCGGCAATTACCATATGAAAATTCCTCGAAATTAAATGATCAGAAAACTGAAATTTCCTTTCAAGGCCGGAAGTGGTCGTGTAAAGTTTATCACGCTTTGAACACACTTTAGCGAAGCTTATTTCGAAAGTTTCTTCTCAGATTCAGACAAAGGAACCAATGAAATACAAGCAGTCAACCAGCAGTCTCACTCAAGTCAATCCACTGCATATACAGGGTGAAGTGCTTCGTTTATTTCAAATAATTTGTGAACGTTTATAATAATATAGTACTTTGTGTTCGTACGATGCAATGCAAAGCACTGAATATATACGTTGCGATTTGTTACAACACAAGGAGACTTGCAGTATGGCAGCATTGAAGAAGAATTTCTCATATTGAGAAAGACGTTGACGAGAACAATTAGCAAAGAGTCTGTTCTTAGGAACATCGAAAGTGAGGGTATAATATGTAATGAATTTTTACCGACATGCACATAATGCGTATATAGTTTGTGTGTGCGTGTTGACCACAAAGTGATTACAGCTATAAAATTTTAAAACCGAACTGCCGGAACTTTAACGGTAATAATATTGCCGGAACTTTAAAGGTAAGTGTATAGTTATACCAGAAGTATAAAGCGCTTACAATGTGTATTGACTTTCGCGTATAAGCCAAAGTTTAAAAATACTCTCACAAATATTGTGAATGACTGACCCTCATCTTATCATTCTTGAGCATTAAATATGCATTTCCATTGAAAATTGAAAATTTGCATGCATAGAAATATTTCAGCTCAGTAGTTGAATACTTTAAATTACATTATAATATAAGTATGATATAACGAGCAATTTGATTGGCTACCGCGCGTGCATTGTGAGGCCATAATGCACGCTTCTGGCTTCTGAAGTTTTTGTTGCTAAGCGACATCTTAAATAACATGTAAGGAGAATTTCATCTCGAGAAGCTTGTAAAACACTCGGCTACGCCTCGTGTTTTACAAGCTTCTCTCGTATTCTCCCAACATTCCCCCATCGTGCATTATTACACCATAAAGGCACGCGACTCGTTTTTTAATTCTTAAGTATCTGCCATTTAATCTAAATGCCTTTAAATCCCTGAGCAAAAGGTCCCGCGTTTAAAGAAGCCTAGTGTCTACTAGGTTGAATTATTGTTAACCGCGAAACCATGACGCGGAATTTTATCAATAGTATAGCTTGTCATCATTCAAGTTATTATTAGTCAAACTATATATGCAAGAAACCTCCCGACGTTTCAGCTTTCCTGCCCATATAAGTTGAAAATAGAAATCCACATTTATTTCCCCGTTTCCTAGCGATTAAAAAGTTATTATAAAAAATAACGTTATTCTAGAGCGCGTCAACGATCTACCAAACAGCATGGAAGAAGAAATTGATGTTTCGGTTGCGGAACAGCGACTTAGAGCAGCGGGAACCGATCCATCAAAACAAGTGTCGCCCCTCTTCCAACTCGGGGAATGGTACTTGAAAAAAGCAATGGTCGTAAAAGATGCTGCTGATTTCACAAAGGCTGCCGCACTTTACAACGCAGTTCTGGTAAGATCGAAACTTGCAGATCATGAAATAGACGGAGAGAAATAACCAGAAGAATTGTTGAGACCACTCAGCAATTTTTGCACATTTTTGGAGGCGGTGAAAACGTCGCGCTGGACGAGATTCGCAATGAAATTGATTCTCATAAGGAGTTCCTTGCCAACGAAAGAAAAGTCTTTAAAAAGCGTCTTAATGATATCGATTCTCGTTTTAATAGGAGAGATAAAACCGAAGATCATTATAAGGTATTGAGGAATTTATTTATTTCGAAATTATAACAAGATTTTTGTGGATTTGTGAATTCAGATGAAAATCTTTATGTGCATGACTTTTCACTAAGTGGAACCAACAAAGAGGCGAAAGTACTTATCACGATAGGAAGCTTATGCCTAAGCAGTTGTTTCACCCCAATTTAGTTCCATACAAAGTTTGTTTCACTCAAACTTGGATTCTACAATATATTTCGGAGTTCAACACAGGCATTTAACATGACCCTATAGACCTAAAAGCGACATTGGAGGAATTAGACTCCCGAACCAATTTCTGCTTGGTATAGAGTACCGTTGCCAAACATTTTCGCCTCTTTGGAGAATAATAATTAAATATTCAAAAATATATTTTGTTTAAGGGCCACGCAGAAAAGATACAAGACCTTTTCCGCGACATTCAAGATATGTATATCAGACTGGTAGCAATGTTAGCCAACGAGTGTGAAAATAAGCTTGGTCGACCACCCTGTGACTATGCTATTATTGGCCTTGGTTCGGTGGCTCGTATGGAAGCAACTCCTTATTCAGATCTGGAGTTTGCCATTCTATACTCAGACCCAGCCATAGGAGACAAGATTAACTACTTTCGCGTTCTGAGCTATCTTCTTCATTTAAAAGTTATCAATTTGGGGGAAACTATTTTACCAGCTTTGGGAATCGAACAGCTCAACGATTTTGAAGACCCAAAACGGAATTGGTTTTATGACTCGGAAACGCCTCGAGGAATTTCGTTTGATGGCGCAATGCCGTGGGCTTCCAAAACACCGCTAGGAAGAATGGCAACGAAGAATAAGCCCGCGTTAGAGTTGATCAGAACACCTGAGCAAATGGCTGAATTGCAAGATGAAGAAACTGCGGTGAAAGAAGGATATCACTTAGGTGAGAGTGCTGGGCGTTGTTGGCGGCGGGATGGGGTATATTGAGGAAAAATAATCTATCCACATATTCATATGTAAATGCGATCACTAAAATAAGCACAGATGGGCTTATGAGCATAAACATAGTTTTAACAACTTTTAGTTCTTCAGTAGCCTTCTGGGAGTATTTTCTACCCGTTTAATGACAGCTTCCAATTTTTGCTAAAATATTTGCACGACTGATCTGTCTACACTTAGGGTGACTATACTTTGTATTATCAATAGCTTGTAATAGGAGAGTTTTCCTGTAGTATATTTGTACATGTGGTATATAGTTTTCATATAATTGTTATTATTTAGCTGATATTATGTCCCGAGTTGCACTACTGTTTGGCGAGCAAGCATTAATAGCGGAGTACAATGAACGGGTGGCCGAGAAGTTAAACACAAAATCAACTGCAGTGGAAAGTATATCAGAGGGAAACTCACCGACAGTAGGCGTGAACCGAGGGATCAAACAGCTGCTGCATGACATTACCAACTATGATCCGTACGATTCCTTTCTTGGTATGTCCTCTTACATGGGCGCTGTTTTCGATACAAAAAAGGAATTCTATCGTCTCATTTCGCTAGTACTTTCCGATTTAGGACTGATATTTAATATCAGATCTGCCTCGCCATGGCACGTGATTTCAGAGTTGCAGAATCGAGAAATCATCGACGAGTTCGAATCAGCTAACGTGAATGTGTGTTTATCAATTGCAAACGAAATTCGTCTGAAAACATACTTTGCTAATGAGGGTCAAAAGGAAGTACTTTCGCCTGTGCCTGGAGATGCAAAGACAGCTGCAGAGCAACGTTCCAACAATTGTAACACAGAACAACGTATGGATGATTCTCCTTTCTATCCTGATTTCGATGAAGACGTGGTAGTGCGTCTTTTAAGCACTAGTTTTGATATGCAAAAACGATGTGAAGAGTTTTGCATAAAGTATAATAAATGCAACGAAATCAATATCAGAATACTCCAGAATCCAGTCTCCTATTTCTCAAAGGCAAGTTTGAAAGGGCATTTCTATTTTCGTCTCCAAAACTTACCGAAAGCTTTAGAAGCGATGGAATCCATACCTGAAGATAATAAGGATCCGGGCACCCTTTACGGTCAAGCTCTTGTTTATCTTCGTAATGAAGAGAACGAAAAAAGCATCGAATACTTGGAAAAAGCACTGGAAGCGCATTTCAAGAATGAAGAGATGTCCAATCTTCATGTCCTTCAAGGTATGAGTAGTTTAGCAATGGCACTGCTACTCTCCGGGGAGTACGAGAAAGCCAAGTTTAGACTGGAAGAAGCCATAGTTAAACACAATGAAATCTATGGTGAAGGTTCACAGACAATCGAACTCTGTTTCTTGATGCGCCGTCTGGCTTCCGCTTATTCTGACCTGGGTGATTCAGCATTAGCTTTTGAAACCCTTCGAAAAGTTGAAAGAATCCAGGGAAGCCTAACTTACGTTCCTGATGATGAAAAAATAAAAACCTATTACGTCATGGCATGTTCGCTAACTGCGAAAAAGCAATATTCGGAGTCACTGGAATACTTGAAAAAAGCGCTGCAACTTAGTCACAAGTTGTTTGGTAAACATAATCTCAGTATTGAATTGGCTTCAATCTATATGGGGGCGGGCGTTGTTTATGAACGTTGTCTTCTATATGACGAGGCGGCGTCTTGGTACGAACGAAGTTTGGAATTGTTCCATTTGATATTTGGTAAAAATCCTTGCCGAGGTTGGTTGTGTACATTATTGATACTTTATTTCATTACAGATAGTCTGTTCAATGGGGCATTCCAGCTAAAGACTTAGTAACATCGCATGCATGATAGCTACTAATATGTAAATAAAACAGTTTGCCAACTTTTTAGCTTATGTTGCACCATACTGCAGTGCTTGCTCTCATCGAGCTTTTTGACCCCACAACTCTTGCTGTATTTCGTATTTCTGTAAAATCGCATTTGTATTTTGGGCGAATAGTGCTATTTGATAAAAATTTATACAACATATAAATGGTCAATATAATTTTTTCGGAATTTCTTTGTTTCCACATAAAGATGCATGTACGCACCTGGCCTTCGTACATCCGTACTAACACGTTCAATAATTTTTGTCTCAGGTAAAATTGTCTGTTTGATGCAGTTGGGAAAATTACATTCTCAAAGACTGGAAACGGATAAATGTGTCGAGAGTTTACAGAATGCACTAAAAGAGGCGAGAAGGTTCAACCATGACAAGCCTTATTCCCTACATGCTCTTGTTTTAATTAGTCTTGGAGAGGCTATGCAAAAAGCTAAAAAGTTCCATGATTCGCTTCAGCATTTTGAAGGAGCAAAGGAAATCATGAGTAAGATCCCTGCATCTAATGGTAACGACGGTCTTAATGCAAAGATTCTTTACAGCATGGGGAACATTTACGACGAACTTGGTAATTTATCCAAGGCACTTCGGTGCCTTCAAGACGCCTTCGGCCTATATTCCCGATATGTTGAAGAAGATGAAGCTAGGAATAAAAACCTGGCGATGGTTTGTATGAATATCGCGTGTGTTTCTCAAATGATGGGAAATATTATACAAGCTAAGGATTACTTCACCAAAGCCGCCGTATTCTTCAGAAAGATTCCGCTGACCAAACCTATATGCTCATGTGCTGTGGCAAATCTTTTTAGATTAACCTTGGTCTGTGAAGCTATCGGAGAAACTGATGAAGTATTGAAGCATTTAGAAGAGGCGAGAGATGTTGCGAATGCTATCGGGTTTAAGCATGTCATGGTGTTAGATGTGTTGCACAGGTTAAGCAAGAAATACAATAACGAAATGGGATCCTTCGATAAATTCAAAATTTGTTTTGAAGAAGCTGTAGAAATGGCTAACTGTCTGCCTGAAGAGTATGAGTCCATGCCACCTTCACTCTTAGAGGTCATTGACGTGCTGAAAACCTAGATAACTTCTTTCTTTCTTAAACTGAGAAGAATATCAGCATTGTATTGTATTTATTTTATTAGCTATATTAAGCCCAGGTTCAGCGCTCCTGAATTAGTATCTGAATTTTGGATCTTTACGACGGATAACTGACTGATTTTAAGTACTGTTCTAAGTGCATGCGTGCATTTTATCGAATAATAATCGTCAATAAAGGATCATTCCTAATGGTGTCCTGCGAAATTATTGATTTCCGGTGCGCTTCTTTTGTCTAGCACTGTGCAAAATTTGTGCTCATTTACCCATGGACAGCTGACGTGTCTTACAAAAACACCCAAACTTTTCACCAAGACTAAAACGGCACAGATCCCTCCACCAATATCCGAGTGCATGCAGTTTTCAAATGCCTGCCATTTTCGAATTTTGGGTTAGGGTTAGTTTGTTTTTCTGGATGTTATCTCTTACCCAGGGCCGTCACAGAGTTGAAAAAAAAGCTGCATGCGGGTACACGGGTTTGCTTTGAATGAGGTTTGTGAGGAGTGTTCAAAGTTGAATACTCTAATTGATCACGTGCATGCACCAAAAAAACAAATATTTCTTTATGCTGGTTGCCACTTGACTCAGTGACGTAACGTCATTTTGAGGAAGGTTTTCAAAACTTGAAATCCTACCGGAGGAAGGTTGAACTCTTTGCAACTCTGGGTCGTCAAGAGGCAAGCAGACCCATTCGGCCTATTTATGTAAATAACTATCCGTGGCGAAAGAAAATACTTTGGTTGGCCCAAATTTATCCACTGTTATTATATGCAGAGTCAAATCGTTACATTTCCTTCGAACCAAATTATGATTTGTGTAAGAAATCTATGAAGTTCTAAACGATCGATTTATTTAAACGAATCGAAGGGTCGATGAATACGTTTGGTCTACTGGTGATGGATAATGTAATGTGTTTTTGAGGCTATTCCCGTTTTTCCTTCACCGCTGTAAGTTAAAACAGTTTTCCAGTCACATTATTATATGTTGGTATGCATCCGTACTATCAGCCTACTGTCGGCGGTCTCTTCCAGTTCATTTACTGGTATATACAATAGTATTCGTATAATTCATTTACTGAAAATGACAACAAGTATATTTATATCTCATATTTGGTGTTCTTCTTTGCAATGCGAACTTCTGTAAAAAGGAACTCCCTTCGCACCCAATCTCTGGGGTCAAACTTTTCCACTTGGATTCGTCAAACCATTGGGTAAACTGTATTATACATTGCAGAGACTCGATTTTCCCTGGGCTACCAGGCGCTCCTCTGTCGCCATTTGCACCCTTGGTCCCAGCCTTTCCGTCGCTCCCTCTATCACCGGGCGGTCCGGTTGGGCCGGTCGGACCTGTCTGTCCGGTTATACCCGGTTCTCCTCTAGGTCCAGGTGCCCCTGGGAGACACGATGTTCTGATGATGTTCGATGGAGAGGTGGTCGTACTTGGATTGCTACACGTACCCGAAGGCCCTGGTGGTCCCGGTGGCCCTGGTTGTCCGTCTCTTCCCTAGTGCATTCATTAATTATTTTATTCATGTGATTATGGTGTACATGCAATAATCAGACAGTTAGTTGCGTTTGAGCCAGAATTTGATGTGGGAAAGGGTAGGGCTATGCATAAATGTCAGCGTCAGTCGAAACCTGCGTTTTTCTCTCTTGTTTAATCTTGCCTAAAGCTAAACGAGTCTCGTTTAGCCCACTGCAGGTTCCGAAAAAAAAACCCTTTAAGAATCCATGCAATCTGATTGTCTTTAATGCTAGTATTTCAACGCTATGTAATTAGACCAAGTATAAAATGCACACAGTTGTGCAATGTTCCCATCTTACTCGGTTTACTCAGGTTACTCAAGTGAGTTTCTGTTTTGGAAACGTTACTCCACTTCTTGATAACCTCGAGACATGAGGAGCTATTAGTATATCGGGAAGCACTGTTTGCAAAGGACTTATTGCGCATTCCTATTCTATGTAGGAACGTACAAGAATATCTTACCGCAAGACCTGTTGGCCCAGGTGGACCAGTTGGTCCTGTACTTCCTTTGATTCCTTGTCTTCCGATTATTCCAGTCTAATAATGTTATACGTAAAAATTATTAATAGTTGTAAAGATATCATGAACAATTCTTATCGTTATGTGATCATGATGGGTTTGTGAAAACCATGTAAAAACTAAACCCTAACTCAGGAAGTGACACTGTTGTATAACGTCGCTATGGTAATTTGTGAGAAAGTCGCGTCCAAACTAGGATTTCAAATTGTGTTTGCAAAAGTATGTTTTGCAAATTTTGTTTTATTAGTAGCTAAAAGTTAGTCTAATCCAGTCTATGTAAGAACTATTGTTTGATGCTGATCATGCAATTTTTGTGTCATTACAAGGCATCGAGAAAAGGCATATAAATGTAGACGATTAGCCTCTAGCCACTTAATTTTTACTTTTAGTAGTCACACACGCGAGTCTTACCGTTCCAGGCTGTCCTCGTATCCCTTGCCTTCCATCACGGCCATCTGTTCCCTGAGAGTAGACAAAAACGAATAGTAACGATTTATTTTCCGTTTTTTTTATAGCATGGAGTCGCACAACGGAAAAACACACGGGGAAATCATAAGAGTCTGCATTTTTTGAATTCATCCGATCTCTTAACTGTAAATGCAGTTTTGGTTGTCGTGTTTGGCGAATGAAGGGACAATACAGGTGAGGGTACATGCAGGCTAAGTTCTTTGCATACGTAACCTTCTAATCCCAGCTTATACGCCTCAATGTCTAACAAGTAACGTTCTAACGTGGGACAGGTCATTTATATAAGCGTTATTACGTCATTAACGTTTGATAAATTGTCGTATTCCTCGTTATTACGTCACACCAATGGTGAAGATATCAACGTCCCAAGGGAGCGGGAATGTGAAACCGACACTGATACGCGGGAGTCAACGGATATGATTTCATATGCGTGCAGAGTCTTACTAAAAAGAATAATTAGATCATGACCATGCGAACCCCAAGAATTAAGGGTCTGTTTAGGCAACTGCGTTTTTGAATGATTGCGTGGTATTTCAGTTTGCAAAGTCGCGCGTTGATACCGAGGAGCGCAAATCAGTATTTTGCTGTCTCCTGAAGGTCAATCAATAATCCAAGCTTAGATTTTTTGAAGGTAAGTTGCCGTGTCCAGTGTTATGATTAAATCGGTGGCTTACCCCTTGGCCAGGAGGCCCAGGTGGTCCTGCAGGACCATGTCTGCCTCGTGCACCTTTTTGTCCTCGGCGTCCTCGACTGCATGGACATTGCTAGAAGGAAATAACATCATAATTATGTTCACATTAGACCATGTCCGTAGGAGGGTACTAAAAGTGGGTTATAGGAGAGGATGCATGCGAGATGAGCATGCTCCAAAATTTTGGATAACCTAAACGTGGAAGATGCAGATAAGTACTAATTCTAATTCACCTAAAGTGTACTTCTATTCATCTATAATGGTTGAAAATGTAACCATAACCTAGTTACGTTTACCAATAACTTTCTATTATTCAATCTCTGATAAGAACCGCACGAGGTCGTTTTTAGCAAATCGTACGTCAATTTTATCTTTTTGTGTGAATGCTGATTGATGCATTTTCATTCTTCTCGACCACACAAAAAGACTACGAAATATGCCCTCGATTCAGCTAATTTATGAAACTATTGGAACAATCGATGCCAATGGAAGTATAATTGATGATACGAACTCAAATTGATTTAAATGTTCCCGATCTCAACGTGTGCATGCATATAACTTTGGTGGCATGACTCTCATGGTGGTATTTCTAGTTGGTTCTAAACTCGTTGCTCTCTCTCCATGCCCCTGCAATTCTGTCGAATGTGCATTTCAGGTTACAAAAATTGCCATAGGAGAATCTCAAAAGCGTAAATTCTTTGAATGGGACTTGATTCATGCAACCCTAAACCTACTCTTTGGAGACGATACGCAATAGCATTTGCACAATCTGACATTTATTGGCGCAGGAGCGTTGCTCTCGAATTGCATTGAATTATGTTTGTACTGAATGGGATCATACATTTAAGGCGAAGGTGGGATAATAATGGAAGTCCTAGAGAGTGGGGATGATTGTTTTTTTCATGGTAGTACTCTATGATACAAAATCTGTCGTTTTTCCTCCCACCGACAAAAATGATCACTCTTATTTGAACTACATATTTTGGTGATTACGCTCGTGTGACGCTTACAGTGCTGCATATGCGATTAGTGACAATATGCACAACATCTGTTTTGAAATACTTTGTGCGTCGCTTTTACTTCGCCTCTTTTCTATCGTTTATATGGTAATCAATTATCCGACACAATTTCTCCACTGCAATTTATCTATCCGCTGCAGCTGATCTCTGTATTTCGTATTTGCATGCTCTATAGAATGAACGTATTCTCTCATTTCGTAATATTTGGCCTAGTTATAGCTAGCGATCAAGTAATTGTTTTTCTTCTTAAAACCACATGTTATATTAGTTCTAGACGCTTCCGAAAGTCTTCATCCCCTTCTATACCTTGGATATCACGTTCTAGAACGCTCACATGCTCTCTCGTGTATCTTCTCATTCTCGCTAGTTCTATCCCGACGGTCTAGCGCGTATTGTTTACCCCTAATTACATCATATCGTTTGAGATATTAGTTAATTCAATCATCTCGACTATTTGGAGATTAAGATAAGAATCAGTCATTTTAAAAAATCCCGTCGAATGGTTCGTGCGTGGGAACAAGACGCATGCCATCAATTCTTACACAAATCAACAATATTTTCTGGCAACGCGCGTGTTGGCGCTCAATAGCGATGCCACCCAAATTTTTTCTTCGTTTTCTGTGTCATCTAAATATACCAATATTTATTTTTTGAGGGTAATAAAAGGCAATGGAATTATATTTGTTCTAGCTACAAATAGTTTGACAATTTTGAAAATTCAAAGCAGACTATCGTTGCATGTTAGTAAGGTTGCATGGACCTCAACTTCCAGAAAAGTAACTCGTTAGACATCGTTTAACGTCGTTTGTTTCCTGGATTTTAATGCATAAATAAACTGACCCAACTTGAACAATCTGAGTTACAAAAAGGAAATAAATCAAATTTGTTTATTATGCGACCACAACTCGATTGTAACATTTGCGTGTTTTACTAAGAAATAAACCTTTGATTTGGTTGAAATATTTAAGCTGTGATCTTTGCATGACCGTGTCCAATTGTTATTGCCTCTAGTTGGCTAGGTAATCATCAAAGTAGCTGCGATGTAAATTCATAGTGAATGCCAGAATTAACAGTAAATTGTTCATTTGACTCAAAATTGAATTGTGCACGAGTGAGGTGTACTCATTAGTTAGATGGTCTGAATATCTTTTTTTATATCTTTATTATTAATCAGAATCTCATGCCCGCAGATTCGATCCTGCCAAGCAGGGAAGTAACGCTGATTTTTTTCGCTTTTTAAGTTCATTTTCATTATATACTAATGAACGACCACTTTTATTGACCTCTTATAAGAAATGCAGTCATTTGGGCAACTTAAGTCCTCGATTAATTGAGCATGTTTGGTGTACAAAGGTGTTAGAAATGGGGTCGAAATTTACGTTGTAATGGTTCAAGATCAAAGTCGTGCGAGAAGAAAAAAGAGGACGCTGCCGCTGGGTGTGTCAAATATTACATTTCATTTATCCGAAGACCCACGTCGGTCGAGCTGTCCGCGTTGGTCCCTCTTCTCTCAGCGTGCGACTGCGCATGGAACTGGATTTAATCTAGAATCAATTAAATTAAAATTACCAGCTCGATTCATGCATTTGAGCATTAATTTTAACTACACGTACCGCTGTGTTTGATCATAAACACGCAGAAGTTCCGCGTATGATTGCGCGAAAATAGTCGAGATGCTATTGTTTTAGATGAAAACAAATTGCTGTATTTTTGTCACGTTTATACCCACCACAAAGCGATGCTAAAAATTCCATTCTTCCCATGCCGAATGCGTTTTTCTCAGCATCATTTTCTAAATTAAGTTCCTTCGAAAATTCGCGAGAAAAACTGTGGTATCATCTTAGCGTATTGGAAAGCGGATGGAAAATTATCCTCAATTAGTTTAGCTGGTTTTCTTATGACTCATATCCTTTCTAATTGCATTTTAATGGCCATTAGAGGATTTGTCTCACTAACCGCCTTATCTGTTGTACGAAAATACGTCGACACTTCGTTATGAACTCGATTAAACGAGGCTAAATATTTCGATGACACACGTTTTAGTCATGGATACCCAAAACGAAATCAACAAAGCGTATGATAGAAAATTTGGTTTGTCAATAGAATGAATGTTTTTCCTTTTTGATTGATCAGCATAATACTGCTTGGTCGCCAGTGGTCTGCAAAACTTTCGAATTATCATAAACATCTTTTAGACTTGACTATCAGATGCAGTTGTAAGAATTGCAACGTATTTCATCTGAAAAGATATTTCTTTTTCCTCAGTTTATATCGGTAAATCACAGCCTATGTACCGAGCGCCAGTGTTTTTCCTAAATCCTTTTCTGAGCATAAATATTTGGAATTTGAATGGAATGTATTCATAAATATCGTTTTGTTTGACATAAATAAACCGGCGAGGAGAACCATCCCTCCTAGTCAAAATTATCCCAAAACGGCGTAAAATTTAATGTGTCATTCATTATTGATGCACAGAAAGGGTATGCAAAATTCATGGCTGGCAATATATCTCTGCGTAAATAAATCACATTACATCAATTAAATATACAGCGCACTGTCCCATTGAATGAAACTCAAAAGACAAGCTACACTTTGCCACGAATCAGGGTATATGTGTAATATTTCATTGCATTTCCTCAAAGCAGAAACTCGAATTCACAAATCTCGAAGCTTGTTTTACTTGCCGAATGTAATTACACCATCAATTAATGCACGAAAATAGTTTACTTGTTGCTTGACATGAAAACTAATCTTACTGTTTTTGCCACACTTCAATGTGACGGTGCAATTGAAGTTGAACATTTGCAGTGAAAATACTAGCACAGTTGTAATACTTACGACCTTGCATGAGTGCTTGCGAATTTATTTTAGTCACATGTTGCGAAATCTCAAACTCATGTTGGCGGACGATTCTCGAATAAACCAAATTAGAAACAAAAGTTTATTGACATCGATTTTCACCCAGCATATCAGTCAATTTCAAAGAGTGTACCTTGTTGTTTTAAGCAGATTATGTATTTACAAGTCTTTTCTTAGTCAATATTGAACTAAGGTCGCTTTCAGTCACGCGTTTCTGACACGCATGTAGGTATACACATGCACGAAATGGTTGCATTTCACGACATGCATTGCAATTTTGCGAAAAAAACCTGTTTAATAGCTAATGCTGGTAGAGAAGGAGAGAGTGTTTGAGGAGTGTTACTCATGTTGTAGCTAACTTGCCAACTCTTGTTTCCTCTCGTTGATAATAGTTTCTCCTGTATCAAAACTTTCAGAGTATCAAATCTCATGCAATTTTTCTTTCTCTCACTCCCCGAACTATCATGCGTGCGTTCATTTTCTGACTTTCTTCAACCCAAGAGTAAACACAAGCTGCATGGATTCTGTCAGGCTGTTACAATTAGAAACAAATAAAAAAATGAATGTGCATTGTGAGTGTTTTAATCTAGTGAAGTAATTAAGGTACATGAGCAATCAATCTTTTCCAGTTTGACACGTCGTGGTCCAACCACTTTTGACTGGGTCTAATTGGCGATATTCTAATCCATATAGGCCAGAAAACTGATATTCATTAAAGTGCCTATATCACTTGTGGGATCTTTACGGATTTGAATAGAGCTTGAAAAATTAGTTTATAAGTTCTACAACCATTTTTGATATAATTAAATAGTTTCGAAAATACGTCGGTTGTGAGGACTGGGACTCAGGAATGATTTGCAAACACGCCGTCTTTTATAATGTAAACATGAAAAGTTTCACTGGCGATATAGTTTGCGCTTTTCAAGAAAAAAATGCGGGAACGGTGCGTTGTGTATGGCTGCAGCAACTGGGCGAGTTTTTCTCAAAATATTTTACGTTATTGGAAGATCGAGGTAAATTACAATTGATTTTATTATGTTTGACAAGAACTCGGTTCCTGAGTTCCAGGCCCCCAAGCACGACGGAAATTTAGGCAAATCGTCATGTTTAGATGTAAATATTTTCCGAACTATTTAACTATATCAAAAAGGGTTGTAGAACTTATAAACTAATTTTTCAAGCTCTATTCAAATCCGTAAAGACCCTACAAGTGATATAGGCACTTTAAATCTCGATTATACCCTAAACGTTTCGTAGAGATATCAGTTGCCGCGCTCACTGATAATGAATTGCCTTTAATCCTAGCTGTGTTCACTATATGGGCTCAAATTATCCTTTAGTAATTGTCTAATCAAATGCTTACCAGAGAATGTCTTTAAGCTTACGTACGTGCGCCGAGCTGGTTTTACTAGGAACTTACTAGGAAATTGGACGCGTTGTATAACCAGAGCTATAGCTACAACTCGTTTTAGGGCCTGTGGTTGCTTTTAGAGGTTTAAGCTGTTTTCATTTAGGCGATTTTAGCCCTTTTAGCAAAATGCTTTTCCGCCAGCCAATCACGTTCAGAAATTTGTATGTAGTTCGCTCTAGCATGCAAACACGAAGGTGAAATTGGAAGGAATTCTAATTTCTAAACGCATAATAACGGCGACATAGCCTCTATATATTCAGGGTGAGTAATGATGCCTTTCACGCGCAATAACTACAGCTTTATCATCTCTGTCACGATTAGAAAGCGTTATTTATCATTTAATTTTATGCATGTTAAAATGCATTTTTGAGAACAGGACAAGTAACTGAAGTAAGGCCTAGGTTAAACGTCGCATTTTGGCCGCGTCGAGTGCAAATTAAACAAAAGATAATGATATGGTAATTATTGGTGGATTATCCATTGTTTAAATGTCATTCATATTGTGATCATGGAATAGCCAATAACACTTATAACCATCTCAGATGATTTGAAATGGTTAATTCGCATACAAGCTGAAAAGGTCTATAGCTGAAGCGCAGCATAGCGGTTGTGATTAATCAGAAGATAATTAACCCAAATGTGCAAATCTTTCTCCGTCTCCATTGGGATTAAAAATGCATTCCAATAGTGCGAGAGATAATAAGACTGTAGTCAACTGAGCCTGTTGAACACAATGGAGTTGTGAAATTCAGCCTGTGACAAGTTCTTAGCAAATTTGAATATATAAAAGCTCGGCTTATTTTTTATTCAACATGTGGCTGAATGAACATATGAGACATTGGTGGATATGCCATGATTTAAACAAAGCTTCCTAGTTGAGCACCGATATTTCAGTTCAAATGACTCAAATAAATAAGCTTGATGGATATAAACAAAGCGTTAATAACTTAACATCATGCTTGCGAAGCGTATTGGAATAGAATTCTTTTGAGATGGTCTTGTGTGTAGTAATAAACTGTGTGCCTGATTCACTCTGTGGACTTGCGGCGTTTGCCTTTTTTGTGCTAGTTATGCTTTTAAACGACATGGCAATGGAATTAAAGCAACTTACATTTCGACCTGGCAGCCTATGCAGTGTCAGTGAATATTGTATTTGACTGAACAAGAAAGAGCCTGAATCGAAGGTAATTTGTATCACTTTCTCTGTCAATTAGACCCTTTTACCACCCCCCTTATAAACCCGAAACTTATCAATTTTATAGCAAGAACTTTCCAGTTAACGTTGTTCAGAGAGACGTAATGCAATCACTAGATTACTCAGTGGTGGGGGTATTGTTTTGCACAGCAAAGCGGCCATTTTGAATTCCTAATTAGATGGCTCTATAACTGGCGGTTACCCTATCAAAACGTTACTTGGCTGATTTTCATATATAAGTTTCGCGTTTCCTGCGGTCACAATTACGAATGACTTCATATTAGCATTGCTGATGATTCCAGCAAACAGTTTTTTGTGCGTCATTGTTTCAAAAACATAAACATCAATCATTGATCTTTGCATTGCCTAGGAGGTCACACCATTTTTTTAAGTTGATCATTCCGTTTATTTATTATCAGGAATATTTTCGCTTTTCAGTATACGTTAATGACGAGTGTTTATAGGTAATGATGCGGTTGATGCCGTGATGGGACTTCAACGTCGAATATTTTTATTATTGCAACCTCGTTATTCACAAACCTTTCTACTATTCACCAATTTCGAGTTCACGGCAAATCATAAAACGCCTAAAAACACGAGTATCGTAATGCGCAGAAATGGAAGACATTTGCAAGTCATTTTCCAAGGTAATTTGATCATGAATAAAAAAAGCGCGCAGGAAGACCGTCGAACATTTGCATAATCCGCGCATTAGACTGACAGCCTGGGAAGGGGATTACGCTGAGACCTTGCGCCCTTGCGCAAACGCCGCAGCACCTCACTAATGTTGAAAGACAAATGGTGAAAATGCGTTAATCAAATGAGATCTAAATTATATTTACACCGCTTGGTTAGCTCGCGAGATATCACATATATTAATGAGTGCGAAAGGTCACAATGTTTTGCCAAGTTTGAAATGCCAAATTCGCCAATTTTCCGTATTTAACAGTGATTAGATTGTGCCGCCTCTGATAAGCGGTTTCAAAGCTGGATTATTGTTTCTGGATTGTATACAACTAAACAATGCATTTTAACAAGTTTAGCATTTCGTTAACGAATTTACTTGTGACACGTACGACATAAAACTTCAAAGATTGCTTTGTTGGACATCATATCTGATATCATAAGAAATTTGAAGTCTTTTTTTCAAAGTTTCTGAACATGATAATAACAAATATTTTTATTGAAGCTTTAAGCTTTCCGGAAAACATTGCTGATTTGTTATTTCAATTCGCGTTAATCAGGATGTCTAAATGTTTTAAAATTTATTATTTAAAAATATTATTTTAGCCGTTGAAATTCATTAATTGGTCGCATACAGCGGTGAAAAAATCTTATTTTACTATAACAATAATTTATCATGAACTCTTTTTTAATCATTTTTATATGGGCCATTCTAAAATTATGGAAAAATGAATTGATGAATTGGTATTCACTATCTGCAGGTGTCAAATGAATTCACCTTTTATTTTGCTCTAATTTCAGTCCTAAAATTCGCGTTTCGGAGCATTTTATACTCTGGGAAATTTGATATAAGTCAGTCTCTGGCCAACACTTTCTGGCCTGTCAACTACATATGCGTACTATGAAAGGTATTTCTCTGAAGTTAGCCGCGAGCTCCAGTTTGCCGTAGTTACGGGAAGTTAACATGTATGGGCGGTTTCGTTCCGACTGTGATTAGATAATCCCTGCATTGAGAGATAAGAAGATTATTGCAGGCGAAACACAGGGATGTTTGTCGATGCCAAATTAATGTGAAACTGTTTTATGATTGCCGTGTTGTTGAATTTCTCAAATAGGAATAAGCCGATCGGAAACAAATTAAGGGAACAATTGTATCATGTCGGAATCTAGGATTTAGAAATGATTACAATTGTAAGCATGTATATTAAAGTATAATTTCCATGATTGTCTATACATAAAGGTCATAACTGTCTATACATATAGTTGTTGATTCGAAAAACTTTAACCTAAACCTTAACTTCTACTATGTCTATAGTGCTATATTATTGATTGAAATTTAAGCCAATTAAATTTAAAAACCATGACCGCCGACTATTTAAAAAGTAAGCAAGTAAAAAGAAAATTCCGAATAAACAGGACATCTTGAGAATCGAAATATAATTCAAGCAAGACACAGATTAAGACTGTAAATTTTCGACTTTATTACAAAGTTATCTTCATTTCTGTCTGAAGAAGACTTTACAGTCGAAAATTTACAGTCTGTGTCTTGTTTGAATTATATTTTGATTCTCAAGATGTCTTGTTCATTCGGAATTTGCTTTGTACAATATAAAGTCAGAGTAAAAGAACTAGAAAAGCCAGCCTGCATTTGGCTGTGTCTATGGCACATGGTACTCCATGCTACGATGTTTATTAGAACGTACAAGGTCATGGTCATCATCACCTCTGGGTTTTGGTCATGTATAGTTAATCCGTATGAGAATTATGGCCAAGGTTCAATGTTGTATACAAGTTTTATAATGTTTTCGCATCATGGTGCAACCCCCCAAAACTGTCCCCGATAGGTGGTGTACCCATTCTAATTAACAAATAAAACAATTAACACTACATGAAACACCTTTATAAAACTACTAACCTTTTTTTTGCAATCTAAGCCCCATTTGTTCGTTAACTTGTCCTTCTTTATAACACAATCCTAGGAAAAAAAAGTTTTTTCAGCAATTAGACAAGATAAAAACAATCTCTATGGGTGCGTGGTGTTGGTTGGGAATGGTGTTAAATCTGTGCATGGTTTAATAAACCGGGGTATAGCGTTAGGCTGTACGAATTCAATTATAAGGCACCTTATTGCGCGCTAAAACCATCGAATAGGGAAAATCGCCTGTCGTTTTTAATAACCTTTATTAAATCATATTCAAGTAAAGTTTATCTGTGAAAATCCCTAAGGGCTTTAACATACAGCTAATGGCTTCTCTTGTCGATAGATATAATTGATATCGACAACTTAAATTTGAGGTAAGTCGTCGACAGCTAAACGTGGCATTTTTAAGGAAACGTGATTTGTGAACGACAACCATATATGAGTGTCTTTGGAAAATTGTAGTATTAATATCGCTCACTTCCAAAATTAATCTTTAAGTACATCACATTTGGATATTTTTTCGTGTGAAAGGTATCAGCGCTATATTATTATAATTCATGGTTATTTACATGAAGAAAAATACTTCAGTAAATGAAAAATACTGGGACTAGAAAAAATATTAGATTTGAGTGTTTCCCAACATCTGATTTTCCTAATATTTAAAGATTCAAGTGCGTGTCCGGCTGTCTTCAAATTGGTAATCACTTTATCATCATTTGCAGTCAACTTATATTACATGCCCAGCATATACATAAACATTGCATGTCTGACACTATCTCTTGTCGACAGATTGTGCGCGCGACAATTTTTTCTCTAATTTCTATAGGCCGAAAATGGACTTTCATGCATGTAGTGATGTAATATACCGCCCCTCTCTTTCTCTCTTCGAGAAAAAAAAACTCGCATTAATTCCTTCAGATTCGACCAAAATGTCCGCCGATGATGTAAAATTTACATGTCGCAAACTAGATGCGAATTGTAATTGTAGTAAAATTTGTATTATACCGTAAGTTATACTGAAATATACATTGGTTGCTAAAATTTTATATCCCATAGGCTTACATGCATACCGTTTCTGTAAGTTTCAAGGCTTATACTTGGAAATACCATTCACATGCATTGGTTTGTTCAGGGGTTATTATGTAAGTTACACCATATCACTGGCTACCAAAAATAACCCAAGCATGCGGACCACCTAAATTTGTTTAATAAATTATGCCGAGAAATTTCCGATTAAATAAACAATTTAATGTGTAAAGAACACACGATATATCAACAAAAAACACGGGAATCTTACGCTGGAATTTTAAATTGTTTCCAATCAAGATTAAGGTCAGTTTTTTAACGCATATTAGACGCATACTATATAGAATTCAAAATGGCGACAGACAATTATTACGAGGAAACAATTGTGGTTAACTAGATAATGGATCTTTCCTCGAATTGCCCTAATCGTTCTTTTGACTTTGGATTTGCTGATTGAATTGTTATTGTTTGTTTTGCGCATAGAGTCTGTCCGGAAATGTGAAATGTTTATATAAAATGAAAATCATAGATCAGCATGTCGTCCATAGCTTTTTGCGGCGATGATTGCTTGCTCGTACTTTTTTTGAATGCCGACATGACCTCGCACACAGCCAAATTAAAATATTACTAAAATCGTTTTTGCGAAAGTCTGTTTCCGCATCAGCTATAGACATTAATATATTTTAAGTTTCAAATGCAGTTAGTTACATTCTCGATACAAAATACTGCTCTTTATCGATGGTATTCTTTAGATTGGTAGAAGTCCCTCTCCATATGCGTGTATTCTATCTCTATCCTTTCAGCCATGACTTGAGGAACTTGTTAATCAGACACTTGTTGATTTTCTGAAGATGCATTAGCACGTGTCGAGATAAGAACATTATTTCTGCATCTGTACGCACTCCAACTATAAACATTCGTTACTTCCCCCGAACATGCATGTGTATTCTATTAACTTAGGCTCTACCGGTCTAGACAACAATATATAAGATGAGATTGACGTTGTCAAAGTATTAAACTGTTTTATCTACAGTTCTTTATACATCATAGCTTTATTGGCTAGAGTAATGGCTATATTATTAGCCGCATATAGTCGAAAACGAACTGAATATAGTGTGTATAGTTAACATAACCCGTCGTTAAGTCCTTGAGGTTACTAAATACAAAGCCATTTGTATCCAAAGGCATCGGACATACTTTTACTGTAGATAGAGCTCAGTAATTGCTCTGATCTGATCTAACGTGCTAGCATGCTTGTATGCAAAGTTACGTATCAAAACCCTCTTCTTCACTCAACAACAAAATATTGTCAAGATAATCGTACATTCGAACAAAATAGAAAAAACTAATATGTTATTTTTGTAAAATGTTACTTCTTCCGAGGTGCCTTTTTTACTAAGAGAGCCGCACCAGGCGGGAATTATGCTAATGACTCACGCAGATTTATTCGTTCATAAACAAATCTAAAGATTAACCACTATTAGCAATTTAACAATTAGACTTTAGGAATACAGTAATGTGTTATAATAGATTGATTTGTCGATTGTGACTTCAGAAAGCGCCAAAAGTTAATATTACTTAAAGTAGACGGGTTAACATACGTTAAAGTAGAGCGTATTACGATAATTATTTACCCCACGTAATTCGAATGTCATTGTACAATGGTTTATTTGTTTTTTGGCACTATACAACACATACTTAACAATTTCCGCTGATGTCGCCTTTTCCCTAAGGCTTGAGGAATTTATTACACCAATATATTTTGATTTACGAGAGGAAATTGGCTTGACATGGTACTTGAGAGAACAGAAGATCCTCAATATTTGCCAATTGCATTGACAAACCCGCTGTGGCAAACTGGCAAAATTTGCTTCGATTGTTCTATTAAAATGTTAGAGTACTTTCATTGGACTTTATTGATGAAACCAAAGGGTTGGCGTAGGAGAAATAAGGCTATATTTGAGCACCTCAAATGACGTAAATGTTTATTCTGGTGTTGATAAAGCTCGTAACGATTAAACTTTTAGCTCGCTAAGTATCTAACCACGATGCCACTTCAGAGTATAATTGTATCATTCAACGCCTTTAGTTTGGATGTAATATATAGTTAGACATTGCACACAATGATTAAAAGTATATGTGAACAATAGTTTACTCGATATTTATATATTTAGGAAGGCCTTCGAATCGCCCTCCACGATTTACGATAACATGTTCTCTCAATGGAGAAAGAAACTCGCTTTTCATTTATTCAAAAATATGGTTTCGATATATCAATTCGTACACCTCACAGACATAGTTCATGGCTTGTATGGCCGCCTGATAATTGCAGTATTTTGCGCCCTACGATCTGACTGGAATCAAATTTACATAAACAGTTACTTACAAGCCCGTACCAGTATAACAGTAAACCGGGAAGTTTATTTGTTTTGAAATGTTTTGACATACATTCTCAGTTCAAAGCATGTTATTTCTCCGTAAATATGTTTTATTATATTTAACACCACCTGTGGGTATTGAACATACGTTTGTGTAATTTGGCAAGACGTGCTTCCGATATAAGGCTCATTATAAAGTTACTATATGTCCGGGATGGCGTTTCCCTTATTCACAGATAAGCTTTTTATAATAATCTCATACAGATTCAATTATTCGTCCTTTGTGCCCATTTCCTTCACTTTCTGTGGGGCTGAATAAATATAGTACTGTAATGGTAGCATCATTAAGGTGGTATAGAATATGTCTCGGGAGGTCAAATAACTCTGTAACATATATCATAAATCATTTGATACTAACTGGGAGCTAGGCATACGCTACAGGCCACAGGCAAAATTGAGTCAAACCAACTTATAAATAGTTGTCAAAAATAGAAGCGGGTGGTTTATTCTCAATTTCTTAGCAAGATCTTGGTTGCACTGTATAGCCTATTTGGTTATGCTTTACCGTGTATGCTTTCTTTTTGGACCATCCGAAGTTTGTATATAGTTGAACCGTTTACATCCTATCACTCTGCCGATTGCATCAATTTAGCTATATTCCCAATTTAGGACTGAATAAATGACAAATTACTCAAATCATGGATTAAACTGATTTTAAACATAAGGGTACTTTTAAATCTGGGAGCTAGCAGTGTAGCTAGTATAAGATCATACACAGTCGTGCGATAAACAGAACTGTGATAACTAAAGAGATAAAGGCTAAGAAATAACCTATTCTCTTCTTCTAGTCAAGAATTAACCGTATCCTAAATCAAACATTAAGTGTTGAAAACATTTGTTTGTGTTGCAGAATTTGGTCTTAATCAGCTGCTATAAGCTTCATCGTGTTACGTAGACGAAGTATACTCAACTTCAAAACAGGAGCTTCGCGTGTCCCATAATTTATATTGAATTTACAAAATACTGTTACCAAAATTCATCTGATATCATTTTTAAGATAAGGGTTGTTTGAGATGATCAACCGGGTCCACAAAACATTGCAAACAATTAAAAAGATCGGAAGCTAGGTTTAGCATGCATTGATAGCTAAAAAGCCTTGAAACTTTTATTCAAATATAAAGATATCTTGTCTGTGCCTATTGGTCATGTCGTGTTCAAGTCGCAGTTACTAGGTAGTCTGTATAATATAAATCAGCGCAGCGAACGCAAATTAACCTTAGTAGTTAGAGATAGTATAACCGTTTCTCTTTCCAGACAGAATAATGTATATACCACTGACCTTAGTACTGCTTTTTTTAGCAGTCTTCTTCGACTTTGAGGACGCACTTAATGCGAAGTGTGGAACTAACACCAAAAGCACTTCAATCAACGCGACTAAAACTATCGCACGATGACACGCACGCGAAAGATTCATCGTAAATCTGCGCACTCTTGTCGGCACCTCTCTTTACTCCCTTTGCTGCCCGTACGCAGTTTATGCTAAGTGGACAGAAGCGCGCGCTCGTTCTTAAAGCTACTCCGCCACCGTATGCTATATTTACACTGTTTTTCTGTGTTTGGTGCGCGCAATTCATGCTCCATGCCGTTCAAATAACCTAATTATCACCCCCGAAGTGAGATAATAAAACACACTTGCGCTTCGAGCCTTATCGGATTACACGGAACCGTCCTGAAAAGGATCCGTGACAAAGCGCCCGCATGACAAACATGTCAAATTGCTGAATTCAGAATGGAATTAAGAACCCGACATCTCTATTTATCCTGTTTAACGATAGCTAGCAGGACATATAGGTTACTGCATGGTTTGTAACATTGTGTGTTTAAGTGAGGTGGCCCTGATTTAATTGATTGTTGATAACTTATCATCTAGTTCGTGATTATCATTTTACTAAGGCTAAGGTTTCCTAGCCGAGGAAGCGTTTATTGCAAAAACCACATGCATATACGCTTCGGGGCTTAAATGCAAGATCAAGCACTAGCTTGTCTTTTCCTTCAGCAGGTAGGAAATTTTGATCGAAGCGTCAGGTGAGATGTTGGCTTTTCCCAGCCTGCTGCTAAATTTTGAAGAGGTCAAACCATTTTCACCCCACTATTGAGAAAAAAAGATGACAGCATCTATACCAGTTTCACGCATAAGTGACTGGGGATAAATGCAAAGAAAAAACACTGCATGCATGTTAGAACATGAAATCTTAATACAACGAAAAATAGCTTTTGTTTTGTCACGGTTTGCAATTCAAAAGACTTGCGTTGTTTTTTAAAACATTTTGAGCAAAGTACATTCTCGTAACTTTTTTACCTGCTTGGTTGCCAAGTGGTGGCATCATTCTGTCTAGTCTTAGTTTAAACATCTAAAATATTAGATTAGACATTTTTTTAGACACGCTAATTTAGACACGTCACTTTCTGGACGGCAGTATCACAAATCCTAACCCCTAATTGTTTAGAATTCTTGAATTTTCTGCAGAACAACATGGACTGAAAACGCAACACGTAACTTTAACTAATGGCAACTTCGAATTGGTTTGCGATTACCGCATAACTTTTTGAGAGAAGTAACGAAGGATTTAAAAAGAATTAGCTAGCTACAGGTTTGAAATTCAAACAATGAGAGAAGAGAAAAAAATTGCGCAGACCTTTCAATATATGCATGTTTGAAAAATCCCACACAGGAAGAATAGAAGAAATTAAAATTTCCAACGTCAACAACTTTGTCAGCTTCTCGCAGGGCATATGAACCACTGGAGCTGACCAAGCTCGCCCAGGGGCATGCATGAGAATACATTTCAGAGTTCTTTTATTTCTGAAGAAGTATATAGATCCTCTCTGCTAAAAAACCCGGTTGTTTTCGATCCTTCTGCTGAGAACAGTTTTTTGTCCTGTCGTCGTATAAAGGCGTTTTCTTTTCAGCGGCTAAAATGGTCAAACCGGTCATATTTTGAATTACTGAATGGAGTATGTTTCGTTCAGAATATAGCGGTGAAACTGTGCTTTCTGTGCTGGACAGATGTAAATAACTATATATATACTTGAATGCAGAGTACTTGAAACACCAGCAACTCTGTACCGAAATACGTACAACAGGGCCGAGCTGGCCGTTTTTACTGACCATATAAAGGGAAGTGCTCTGAGTTAACTGAATATACAAGGAAGGAGTTACGACCTGCATAACTTGACGTTTTGGCTCGGTCTACTCTTCAGCTCATGGTGACGAAAACTAAAAAAAAAATTTGTGGAGAGAAGCCAACAATCCATCAATTGAAATTTTGATGGGTTTCGATTTACGTTGGGCGCAAAATATTTAGAGAGTTTGTCTTCCTTTTTATGTGGCCGAGCGGAACTAATGTGTCTCTTAATAACTTAAACAAGGATATATAGAGTCGAATTCAATATTAAATTTGCTTAACTCCGTTATTATGCAGTGTTACGTTCTTGTTTGCACGTGAATGTATTTTCTACGTTAACCCTTTCAACTAACAACGTTTTTACCATTCCATGCATATATCTCGTATCCATAATCGTATCTAAAATGTTTTTAAACCATGCCTTGCACTCATCCCTAAGCTTTGAATAAGTCACGGAATGTGTTTCAACACACCAGGCAGCAATTGGCAGTGAATGTGAAAACAGTTGGATAGCCGAGAGTTTTTATTAATTAAGAGCACAAATCGCGTGCAGAAATGTCCAATTATAGCATTATATATGCTGAACGCAGCACTTTGTTTTTAGAATAAAGAAATCTAAAAATCGTTTGCATAAAACTGTTTAGTTAGCCAATGGTGTGGCTTCACTTACTGGGAAATCTAAAATCGCTTATCGCAGTTAATGCGAATTTTTTAATAGAATCTATGCCTTTTTCAGAAGTTTCAACGCTGCATGTGTCTGATTGCAATTTTTGTGCCAGAGCGGGTCAATTGCAGGGATACGGGCTGCTTTTCTTCGCGTTCAATGGCGTTCTTCGTACACTAGACACGAACGCAACGCGCTATATTATAGAGATAATACGCTATAATACTGCTCTAGATGTGCAGTGCAGTGTTCCTGTTTGCGCATTTGTGGTGCGAATATATACCAAAACAAAAACCATTCATTACTCTGATTTATATAGTGCATGGGGACTGGTTTAAGCTAATCATATAATCATGGCTTCGGTATGATCTCGGTATATCCAGTGTATTCAGTGTGGATCAGTGGGCAATCTAAGCATGCCGCTCAGGCTATAATTGCATGTTTTCATACCACTGATCTACCAATACACTGGATATGACAGCTGTATCCAAGTTCTAACTAATACTGCTTATAAAATTTTATTAACCACCGACTATCGGTGATTATTAATGAGACCTGGCTTTATAGCGCTTGATTCTCATTAATCACCGGCTGTGGGCGATGTATTGTTTTTGGCCGGGGTGACGAAGAAATTTTACTCAAAATAAGAAAGCTCTTTATTCTCCAGTAATCACTGACAAAAGCCATCGCCGACTGCCGTCGGTGATCGTGAAAATTACACGTGGCTTAACTATGTCACTGACGCTTAAGAAATAACTCAAACATATTCAATTACAATGCTAAGTATATTGGGTCTCTAAAGTCTGGTTTCCATATGACGCCGACCTGTCGCCGACTCATTGTCTGTAATCATCCAAGGAGAAAATTATTTCAGAAGTCAAAATATTTCACTCATCAACAATCATGCCGACGTCCGCGTCATATGAAAACCAGGCTTAAGTTGTGCTAGAGTTCCGTTGTTATTAATTTATATGCTAATACGCTGCAATACGGCCAATGCCGGGTTCCCGACTAAATAGTCGTAAGTGTCGTGAACATGTCATATGTCAAGGTGGCTGATGTGATAGAATATTTCTATTTGTGTGCAGTCAACAATGGCCGATTTGAATATAGAAATAAAGGCAAATTTACAAGCGGACTATTGGTGAAAATGACTTGTCCGCGACAATTCAGTACGATTAAATGGAAACGAGGCTGAAAACTCAAGGATTCATCTTCATTGAGTGTTGATTACCTGGAAAGTACCCAATATTTCCGCATACTAATAGAGTGACCTTTTGTTGCCATGCAACGGCTGGATTGAATATGTATTATGAGACTGCATACATAAGCAGCTGGTTTTCAAACAGAACCTACACTAATGTTGAAGATATTATTTAATTTGGGCTTCGACTGGCTAGATGCGACTCAATTACAGGTAAAAGTGTGTTTTTTCCTCAATTTTTATTAATATAAAAGTTGTCAATGTCATTTTAGTTTTCTTGTCGCAACTTTGAAAAAAATTAAATCCGTTTCCAACTTTGCCAACAAGGTTAATCACTTTTTAATAGCAGATACATGGGATGCATATTTAAACTTATTAGGAATTATATAATAACTCCTCAAGATGTTTTCAAGCTAGAAAGCGGATTTCATACAAAGCGAGTTATTCTTTTTTATTCGTGTAATACTAATAATAAAGTTTGTTTGTACAGATTGCTTATTCGACAAGTCTTCATTTACGTTCTTTTATCGGCCCTGCATGGTTGTGGGAAATACAACTACACAATAATAATAATCCTATGCATAATTTAAAATAAAAAATTTAAGCCGGGAAAATTACATTAATATGATACAAAACAAAATGAAAAATATATTGTCCAGCCTTCCGTTTTATACGTATTATTCACATGTAGACTTTTCTCACTCATTGACATTCAACATGAGTCATATATAGGCATAGCAATTAAGCTGTACATGCATTAGGTCAGACTATGCTAGGCAGCTTAAGAAAGCAGCCCTAAATATACATTTCAACTGATCGTCACGAAAGCACGAATTAATATACGAGTTCAGTCTGCGAGTAAAGAAAATTCATTCACACCCTCAAGCTATAGCGATTGATGTATAATTTTTATTGAAAAATAAAAAAATGAAGCCAAACTTTAAAACACTAAATACATTATTATATATATAAAAAACAAGTATATTTAAAAAATTAAATATACTTATAAAAAACAAGTTTACATTCTATAAAAAGTAAAGTAAATAAAACCAGGGACCAGGGGTTGCTCAAAGCTAGGTTTGCGCCATTCCTGGGTTAAATTTTAATCCGCCGTTTTAGTTTACGTGCTTCTGCACCGCCGCTCGTTTTAAAATATGATTTCTATTGAACCAGAAAATACTTATGGAAAAAATATTCGACTTTTATAACCCTGGGTTAAGTTAACCGGTTTTGAACAACCGGCCCTATAGTAGCGTATAGCCAGCCTGACATTTTAAAATCTAACATTTTAAAAGAAGCTTTACAATCAATGCAAAGCTTTATGTGTTTATTGGAAACCTTGCCATTTTTATTCTAACTTATTTTCAAGCTGTATTGTGTCAACACAACGGTTAACTGCATCTTGTCTTTCTTATAACTCATATCAGGGGTTTGCAAGATGTCTTTGTTTATCGGAGTATGTTTCATTTTATACTTTTTGAAATTGTCTACTCCTATATGATTTTTTTAATACAATTACACCCTCGTTTCCCATACATCTCAATAATTTTACAGGCAGATAAAGATTATATATTCCACGTAGCTACGTTTCCCTTTACAAGTTTCAGCTCAATAACGAACTGTAATGATTTTAGCCGTTTACTATATGAGCTACAAACTCATCGGGGACTTTCGCTTATCAGAGAAGATAAAAACGTATCACATCAGACAAGAAATTTAAATTTTGTTTGCTTGTTCTATAATTTTAAATTTTACTGTCTTTCGCCTCAGAACTTTGCGATTCTACTCATTTTTCATGCATCGATGGAAAATACAATTATTTTTTTCTACATAGGATTATACAGGAGAAAGTAAATAAGTAAATGAACTCTTTAAAGCGCTGTGAGAAAGCAGTATACGCGAGATAAATTGGCGTTTCTCGTATCTATTTGATCCGAAAGTATATTCGAAATTTGCAAGTCTGTATGAAATTAAGCTTGTTAAGTTTAATTGAATAATCCAACAGCACAAGCCTTTTCCATGTAATCTCGTTAATATTTTAATCAGGCTAGTGCTGTCTTTGTAAACAGTTTACATATTATGTAAATCCAAATTTTATTTACTTATTAAGGAGAACATATACAGGTGCTATATAGCTATAATAACAACAGACTTGGAGCCGGCTGGTCTAATCCTTCAAAAGATCAATATTTTCGATTTGAATGAATTTAACGAAATTTGAAAAGAGCAAACGCTTTGAAATTATTTTTGCGTCGTATATAAACCTGTATATCAAATCCGTTCAAAGTTTGACGGATTTAATGTAGATTTTCTTTCGTCTAACCTTTGAAAAGTTGGGTTAAATACAGGTATAAAACTTGATTAAAATTGATACAGGAATCGGCTTCTTCCCTATCCAATGATTCCATTTTTTTGGAAGGAATATAGGGCGAAGCATTTCCCTAAACACAATGGACATATGTCGTTCAGGAAGTAACAAAAATGACTCATAATGTCAAATGGATGCTACAAAACTAATTAAATTCAGGCTATACCCAATCATAGTATAGCTTCAGCCAGGTGACCAGTATATTAGGTTTACAACTGCATGGATAAAGAGTTTTCTAGCTTTGTGACGCATTAAATGAAGTGACAATATAGCAAAAATTTCTTAATGGACGTATTGAGAAATCCTGTTTAAGAAGAAAAAATATAAAAAGAGATAAAAAATTGGGCATGAAATTTAAAAAAAACAACTTAAAGATTACTTAAAAAATGGAAATGCATGCTTACACCTGCCTCGGGGAAAACAAAGCCCACGTTTACTGCGGAAAAAGTCAAAGATAAAAAGATTTGGAACTGTCCAAAATATTTTGATTTTATACCTTTAATATTTAACATCTTTTCTAAAGCTTAATTTGAGAGCGTGGGAAAGCTATATATTTTATTATAATTCTTAATGTTTTGTTTCTAAATGTAATCAAATTCTTCCAACAGAAAACTCGCCTAAACTACCTTTATCAAATATCCGCTGCATATTTTTTTGGTCGCTCAAGGGCGATGGGGGGTTGTAAAATCCTTTCGATCGATCATGTTAAGTATTTAAATGATGTTGTTTGCGAATTTTAGTGATGAGGGAAAAATCGCGTGCATGAAAACGATTTAACGTCAGGAGATTGCATAAAAAAGCCATCAAGGAAGAATCACTAATCTGTCACAAGCGCAAGGCTTAATGGATTTATCATTGAGTATCAATCATATTGAATCAATTTTATGCAGCGTGTCTCCGTCAAGGCGATATTGCAATTTATCACACATGTCCAAATGCTATATTCCATTATGTTCGAATATTCAGCAAGATTAGATATTTATTGCCGGCAGAAATCAAACAATGTTAGCAGAGATAATTGAACATTATATAATACACTTCAATTCGACTCCCATTTCATTATGCTTATTTTTAGGACACACATGGATTTCATGTTTGGTGAACGTATCTGAAAGAACGTCCAAGGATTTGGCGTTCTACAACTTCGTTTGGCTAAGGTATGGTTGAAATTTCGTAAAATTTTATAGGAAGATTAGACGGTTACAATATTCTTCACGTCTTTTTAAGATCATCGAAAATCAGTCCACTATAAGACGTTAGTTATATAATTTAGTTATATACTGATTGACAGGAAATCTACAGCTTATATTATTGCACCAAGCAGCTTTATAGCAAGCTGCATTCTATATGCATGGAACTTCCGCGGAGCCCGGCGTTTTGCCAAAAGTTTTGAATGGTACATTCAAGATCTTTACTTAGCGAAATACTGCTCAAATATTTTTTAACTTGCGTAGTTCGATTACTATCTGGTAGAGTGGGCAATGTTCATGTCTTCGTTTTAAAAAACGACAAAAGCAATCGATTTCGAAAATAAAATTATTTTGAAGCTAAAATATTGTAAAATATTGCAAAAATAATGTATTATGAAGTCAAAATTTGTAAGGGACATACAGAATTCCGTGTTGTTTGTTGCATGTAACCATGCGATTGAATCAGCATTGCAACTTGATTTTCCAATTGAAAAAAGTAACCTTTTTAACTATAATATATATAGAAATGAGAGTTTTATTGTGATTATTAAAAATGCAAGTGCTGAAGTGCATGCTTGCAGTAATATGACAATTTCAAATGAAATGCTACATCGTGGTAATTGATAAGACATTTATTTACTTGTTTAGTTTTTTTGTTCCTTTTATCGATGTTCATGCAAAATTGTAAACGGTGTGAACAACGGAGATTTTTAATCATGAAGAAATCGTCAAACGACATCATCTTGTGCAGTAATCGATTTGTGCAGATGAGCTGTCTTAAACCGCGTTTACACTACGTGGTTTGACCTGGCCGAGATCAGACCTAGACCTACGTGTGAATGTTGTTTATCTGTTCTATCTGTTGTTGGGTGTGGTTTAGGCCTGGTCTAGGCCACAAAATCCGGGCCAAATCCATACTTGTATTACCACTTTTCGGCGTGTTTTAGGTCTTTTTCCAAGTAAATTGTCAATTACTTTGGCTATCCTATATCATCAACAAGAAAGACAGTGTGAACGCAGCACATATCAGGCTACCTAGACTTAACCTAGTCCTGATCCAGGCCAGACCTAGACCTCTAGTGTAAACGCGGCTTAAGGGCCTATTCATAGTTTTCAGTTTTACTATTCCTGGTTGGCCGAAGTTGTCGACAAATTAAGTATTCGACAAAGTTGTTGACCAGGGGCCACTGAGTTGCCTAAAAGACATATAGTTAACTCATAACTATAGAGTTAGACAGAATTGGCCAAGCAGCGTCGTTTATTTTTGCAGAGTTAACTAAGATTTAACTATGTATGCAAAATGTATAGTTATAAAGAGTTTTATACAACCAGCTCAAGACAGAAATTCACTCCGAAGAGAGGGAAAATTACGTTCATATGAGGAAAATATGTTTTAAATTTTTGTGTCATATGAACGCAATCAAGTTTATATTATTATTTGTTAACAAGGCGAGATCTCCCCTCCCCCCCCATCATCCCTCGCTAACCGCGAAAACTTTTGACCCCCCCCCCCCTCATCCCTCGCTAACCGCGAAAACTTTTGCCCATATGAACAAAGCCCTTAATGACAATTTCTAACTTATTATAGAGGCTTCAAGGATTCAACTAGGTCTCTTTTGAGTCAACAATAAAACCTTTTCTAGCTGACACATTGTGAGATGAACATGACAATTTATGCACTTACAAATTCTCCATTAGTTTTTGCTTGTTAAATTATTTTTCTAGCTATGTTGCTTATCTTTCTTACCGCACTTGTTGGATGTGTTCAAATCACCCAGGCCATTCCCAAACACAAGATTTACATCGGTTGTCTAGTGCCAAGCTTTAACCGAGATTTTTATGGCTACGAAGCAGCTATCAATCTTGCCGCTGAAATGATAAATAATCGAACAGACATTTTGCCTAACCACGAAATGGTCATGCTCTGTGAAGATACCTATGTGAGTGGAATTCACGACTTTTGATTTGTAATGTATTCGAAAACACACAGATAATACTGAGATAGCAAGCATCCTTTTATATCGAATAGTCGATTCTGAAGTCTGAATACACTTAACCGTTTCAGGCACTGCATGTATTAATTTGTATGTATAGAAATTATATTCACGTTTTCCAATGATAAAAAATCACTGGAAGTTCTTCCGCTCTGCGCTTGTTAAGTGTTGTCACATGCACGACGGCTTCAACTAGCTTTAGTTATAGATACAAGATAGACACACTCGGGAGGTAATAACCGTATATAGAAGAGGAATTGATTTTGCATGGTATCAGTAAAAAAAGAATTGAACACGCTTTTTTGCAGCAAAAAATCAAATGTTAAACTCGATAAAATTCAAGTTTGATCAAAATTCTCTAGATTTTTGCTGCAGCATTTTTCCACCTTAGGAGTGTCGTTCTCACAAAGCCAATATTTTTTGCCTTAAATTTAGCAAGTTCGTAAAATATTTCATTATCTTGTTTAGGGTAACATTCAATATACCATTTATCATGTATTTTCATTTCTTCAATTGCCTGCAAATCAATCCATCCGTTTACTTATCGGTCCAGCGTGGTCCAAAACCACCGTTGCTGCAAGTCAGGCAAGCAGAGTTTGGCAAATTGTACAGGTAACTTCAAAATTGTTTTAGCGGTGAACGCCTTTAAACCTACTGCGCTGGTAATTCTTTAATCTGATAGCATTTTGCATTTGACTGGTTCATATTTCTTCATAAGTAGTGGAATGAAATTATTGAAATACTCATTGAAATACCAACTTTCTGTCTTAGCGAATCAGAACGTTGTTGATTACCCGTCGTTCCCGTTACCCGTTACCCCTCGCGCATGCGCATAACTGACAAAACGGTCGACCATCCATGACATAGAATTTGTACAGTCAACTTTAAATTGCGCTATGTTCTCCCGGGTTTAAAGCTCATTATCATCTCATTATTTATATTGTTTGAATTGCCTTCAACGCTACCAAAATGCGATGTGTAACATAGGCCTTAATTTTTAGAAGGTGCAACTCCAAGCAGTCCGCTTGGACGTTTTTCCACCCTTTGAATTATATACTAGAAATACATGCATGCAGCAACCCCTCGCTATTTCACACCAAATACACAATTTCCTGAGGAAACCTGACCTAAACTTATATTATGAAATGACACAAAACTCAAATCAGTCTTTTATATTTTACAGAGTATATTATAGCTAATGCTTTCATTATTTTGAACACAAAAATAATCATAAAGCTAGTGTAAACATTGCCTCTTCAATTTTGCTCTATTACACCATGGCAGCAATGGTTTAAAATCGAAGTTTCAAACGATTAAAACAGTACAAAATATTCAGAGACAAAGAAAAGACCTCAAGTTTTATTTTATTCTGTAATTGCAGTCGACGGCTAAACGTTTTATGCTTCATAGTGTGAATTTTTTATATCAAAATTCAAATTACACTTTCAAAAACACTTTTTGAAGTTAAAGCAAAGGTGTAATAGCCTTTCACAGGTTTATGCGTTTGCATAAAAGCTGAAAATTATACAAAGCTGAAAATTAAACAAATAAACGGCATACAAAGATGAAAATTATACAAATACAGCTCATCCTTACAGCGAAGCAAATACGAAAGAAACAAAGTAAACACGTACCCTTTGAAATCACTTATAAGCTTGCAGATTATGAATTAATTATTTCTCTTACACGGCTTTGTCTTGATTGTATTCCTGCATGTTCATCTTTGCTATCTGTTATGCTTCATATATTTTGTTTCTTTTCGTTTTACTTTGCACAAAGTTTATGAAACGCTTTTACAAAAATTTTTACGAAATGACAGTTAAATTGCTGACGTTCTCATTGAAATTCAAACTTTCTGTCTTAGCCAATCAGAACGATTGTTGACTACTCGCGCAAGCGCATAACTTACAAAACCACCCAACGTCGACCGTCCATGACATAGAATTTGGACAACTTTGGATTCGGCTATGTTCTCCCGGGTTCCGGGTGTAATTCCTAATCTCCGAGCGGAATTAGTACCCTCGCAGGCGCTCCGCGCCCGCTCGGGGATTATAATTGTACTTAATTCGTATCGATATGATTGATAACATGGCAAGTTCATTTTTCGACCACTATTTTGAAAGAATTTTAAAAGCCGTCGTCCCACCGTTCCTAATGTCCTACTACAGGTATAGTAGTTGTTGTTTTAATTTTCTTGTATGATTGCATGGCGACTTTAGTAATTATAATAACTTGTAGGTACACCACGTAAGTATTAAATACTGCAAAGCTTTCGGTCCGTTAACCCGGACCTATTGAAATTTATAAACATCAAACTATCGTCCAAGAGGGAAAGCCACTTAATAGTACGTGGCGTGCTCTTTTCGGTGTCTCTTAGTCAAATACTTGTCTAGGGCGCGCGCATTAATTAGAACTTAATTAAATGAAACCGTTTAATTAATAGCGCGAGCAAACTAATCACGACTAACATGATATTTAAGTGACGCGCAAACGTGTATTCAAGTAATTGCACTGATGAAGGTCCGGGTTAACGGACCGAAAGCTTTGCAGTATTTAATACTTACGTGGTGTACCTACAAGTTATTATAGTTGTTGTTTTGTCCAAACGTTTGGCGATTCTCATTTCAAATATCCGTATCACTTCTTCTAGTTGTCATACGCAGCAAGTAGTGTGGAATTCCAAAATTCTGTGAACTACAATATATTGTTCACCAATGTTCCGTCAACATCAGCGTTCAATAAAGCCAAACTGGAACTGACACAATATTTTGGCTGGAAGAGGATCGCTATTTTGCGAGAATATGATGACAAGCTACACGCGGAGGTGAGTGAATTATGCCTACCTCATTTTTTTTGTAATTTATTGAATGATTTCGATGACCTCCGACATTTTGCGGGTTTTTCTGATTGGTCGAGCGGACTCTGATTCTTTACCATGCAATCATTCGTCGAAAGCGAGGTGTATATCGCTCAATGAAAACCGAGATATTTCAGTTTTTACCCATTTCTTGCAGCCATGCAGATATTGATTTTGTATCATCCACAATTGTGTTTCAGACAGTTCGTGATCTGCGCGACCAAATCGTTGTAGTTCTCTTTATTTATTTAATAGTCGAGGACTTTTAGCAAATCTTTGTCACAATACTTTAGTTTTTGCCCTTTTTTGCGACCAGGAACTGATTTTATGTTATCCACGATTCATTGTGTTTATTGTTTTACAGTCGGTTCGTGACCTGCGCGACCAAATAGTTCGTGACAATTTAAATATTTCTTTGATCACCATCGAGGGATTCAGCAGAGCCAGCGAGGGTCATCCCAGAATGCAATTGGAGAATTTAAAAGTATGTTTTATTCAATTTAGTACCAATTAGAAATTTACTTCTCCCATGGTTGAAGATAAAAATTTGTCGCTGGCGCTGAATTCGCCTGTAAATTAGCTTGAAAATCGGCTGCGAAATAACCCTTAGTTGTGGTGACAGTGTAAATAGAATTAACTGTACACTGTTTCGCTTTTACCTGCTGTGAATTAATTTAATCAGATCTTAAAAAACATGGCCGTCAGCTCATTTTTTCAGAACTTTTTCTAGAACCAAGCACGTTATGAAAAATCGCAGATGAAGCTTTCTAAAAGCCGAAACTTTCGGTATCAAAGCCTGTTAAAGTTTGAATTCGTATTTTGAGAAAGAGGCCTGTGGCTACACAGTGATCAGATTTTCATTTTTGGAATTTCAAAATCATGTTTACTTTCACTTTTCGTTTGAACTTGTCAGAAGCAACAAAAACGATGTTTCTTTCAATTAAAATCAAGAAATAAACAAATAATTTTGGACTTATTTTGGCAGAGAAAACTCTGACTAGCAGGGGTGGCTCTAGCACTAGTGCACTAATTTGCATGACACAAGAAAAAAGCTAAAAATAACCACTTTGTTTTGTAATGCAAATTTGTGCACTAGTGCTTGATCCACCCCTGCTGACTAGCCTCATTTTTGTGTAACTCGCTGCAGGTCTAGCTCTTGCTCTTTGCACGATGTAAATATCTGTCTACGTATGTTGCCGTTATATTTCTTTTCAGAGACTTGATGCTCGAATTATAATTGGCGAGTTTACACCCTACGGCGCCGTTGAGGTTTTCTGTGAGGTATGTGATGCATAACTTTTTTAGTTCGTAGTTAATCCGAAAGTTGGTAAAATTGGAATGTTTAGTTGGGAATACTGATTTTATTTTATTTTAAAATTTATTTATCCATGCTAGCCTTCTTTACAGCGGCGTACGGGAGACGATAATTGGGGGTGGGGCACATGCATATTCATATATTCATGTTGTGTAAGATAAATTTCTTTTCAAATCGTTGTCTTTACATGTCTGTTAACTTGAATATGTGAAAATGTCCCCCCCCCCCCAATTATTGTCTCCCGTACGCCACTGATTCTTTGTTGGTTTTCAAAAAGGGCGTGCTTTCAAAACAAACTATTCTTATTGAACTTAAATCTCATAATTGAGGTTGAGGTTATTCCACAGCACCGCACCACTATACTTAAAACTCCGTTTGAGATAGGTTTTTGACTTTTTGACGTGCTAGATCATTATCGATGAAATCGCAAATTACATTCTCGATTAAGATTTTTGATCTTCATAAATGTTTCTCTAACACTTGGAGGGGACTGCTCATTAAGAATTTTGTACATGAAAATGCTCTTTAAACTATCAAGTCAAGAGCGGACCATTGCAAATCCCCCAATACGATTGCCGAGCTGTCAGCTGCAAAACTCGCTCCTAATATAATATACAGGATGAAAAATATCAGCAAAGTCAGCAAATTTTAAAAATGAAAATAAAGCCCAGCAAATGACTTCCAAACAAGACATAACAAGATGTAAAACTTATTGGCTAACGTTTCGTTAAATTGTTCTCAACATCTTCAGAACAATTTTTAACTTGTAAACTAAATTGTAATTAAACTTGTATTACAAGGAAGGGTTATATACAATATTATACAAGTTACAATTTTATTATGTTTTGTTTCAAAGTCATTTGCTGTGCTTTTATTTTCACTTCTGGCTGGTGCTTAAATCAGGAATTTTTTTTAAACGTAGCATTTTACGCGGGAATGCCTTATTAGCACCTTTAGAAAATGCGCGTATAATACTAATTTCACTTTGTAGATAGAAAGCTTTCTTATCTGCCGTTCCTTATATTTGATGCAATGAATTTTACACAGGCTTACAAAATGGGGATGATCAGTCCTAAGTATGTGTGGCTTCTGTCTGCATCATTGTCTGGCTCCTGGATATTCAGTCCTGGAACATTTTCTTCGCGCTTCCCAGGGTCTAAGTGCAATATCAGCGAAATCATCGAATCAGCCGATAGCTTTATAATATCCGACAAAGTACCAATAAGAGCAGATAAAAACGAAACGCTGTCTCGTTTGGTAAGTAAATTTTAATTGCCTATAGGCCTCCCAGAAAAGTTATTTACATACATAGCTGTCTTTATAGGACGAAAGGATTCACCGCGAAAGAAGAAAAAAACTTTAAACAGGCAGTTTATTTGATCCCGCTTAGCCGTCATCAACGAAGCATGTGGTATTGAAATGAGTATAGCTATAACATGATCCTGGCAGTAGGTCAATACCTCAAAATCATCTCACGCTTCGTTGAATCTCGGCTAAGCGCGCGGGATCAAGTACACAGACCCGTAAAAATATGAGGAAATTTCTTCCAATTTCATGTCAGAATTTTTTGTAATTCTCATGTCGTAATTCATTGTCTTCTCAAAAGCCAACCTTACGACCCAATGGACCGTAATTATAAGGCTGACAATATTTTCATCAATCACCACAGGTAGAAGAATATACTAAAATTAAAATAATTCCAAACTTTAACTTTGTAAAATTCGAAAAATTCAGCAATGCGAAATTGGCGCATGTCGTATACAGACTTCTGTGAGTAAAATAGTTACTTGCAGTAAATTTAGCAACTTTCCATGACTGTAAACAAGGGGGAATTTCGTTTTATACCAAGCAGCAAGTTTGTTTACATTTTCAGTGACCCAATCAGAATGCATAGATCTTGACAACTTCCGGTAAATAGGTACATTATTTACCATTTCACATGAACTTTAAAAATGCCGAACGAAAACGAAATTAATTTAAAAAACGAAATTCTTCCTTGTTATGGATATACTAAAAAGGTTGCATGTTGTTACACTTTAGACATGACGATTTCACACATGGCTATCGGTCAATATAAGGCTGGCTGTTAATAGACCTTTAGGTTTAGACGTTAGAAGACATAAGGTTTATCCTTTCGACTAAATAATATTTTGATTTTTCTTAAGACTCCTGAGTCATTCATGGCGGAGATGCGTAAAAGAAACAAGAATGCACAAAGTTACGTGAGTTATGCGTTTGACTGCGTATGGGCTGCAGCATTGCTATTTCAAGCTACCTTGTCACTGCCTAAGACATACCATCCAGAGAACGCGAAGTTTCGGTCCCTCAAAGTGAGAGAGGCCTACGTTAAGAATCTTGCTGAAGTTGAATTTCAAGGGATGACGGTATAATCTTTATTGCTGTTTTGGAGGATTTTTATTTCTCGTAGTATCCTCTGATTTGACCACCCTCAATAAATTCATTTATACGAGGCACGGGAACTCTTTTCAGTTTGGTCTTTGGGAAGTCCTTCCTGTTTTAAATTGATATATTTATTAGATCAAACAGTAGGTGAGCGAAAAACTCTTTTCCCGTCTTTCTATAACGTTTCCTAATCACTTTGAGTAGTCTTGAAGAGCTCAGGATTATTAAATAGATTGTTTATTGCAAAACCAATAGTACCAAGAACTTACAAGAATTATTGTAAAACTTGATGTAAAGATTCAGGATGATATGAACGAACTCAGGCAATTATATCTCTTCTATGGCAGGGGCCACACCACTTTGACGGCAGACAAAGATTGGGAACCGTGCGAATAAACCAAATGCGAAATGTGAATGGAAAAGGTAACTTATTATTATAGTTCCCTACTAGGAAATATCACAGAATATATGACTCATTAGAAATATGTTAAGTCGCCATGTTTTTTTAATAGCGGAGCTGGTTCAAGTTGGATCGCTCGCTTCCACTAGCAAGAAAGATTTTCAGATGACTCTCTTTGAAAACCAAATTAATAAGTTATGGAAAGGTAAGCAATTATTCTTTATACCCATATATGACCCAGCAAGAGGGAATTTCGTCTTAGACCAATCAGCATATTTGTTTACATTATCAGTAAGCCAATCGGAATCCATAAATCTTGACTACTTCCGGTAAAAAGTTACATCATTTGCCATTTTACATGAAGTATTAAAAATTTTGAAATTCATATTGGCTCTGCCTGAAAAATGTGAACAAATATGCGGATTTGTTCAAAACGAAATTCCTCCTTGTTAGATGACCCAAGTGAGGAAAGGATAAGTAAATTAAAGAGAATAGGAGAAGTCGTTATATTCCTTTTTTTAACTTAATATCTTCATTTGACTGCTATTTCCACAGGGGCAGCGGAGGCAGCAGTGGGCCACGGGGGTAGGGGGGGGAGCTCGCTCTTTATATGCTCATTGTCATGCAATGTCTTATTTCGTAATTTTCGTTCTTCAGTATGGATATATTGCCGAAAGCTGAGGTGCACGAATTTGAATTCCATAAGAATCCATATTTAATCTAAGGAGTGAAAATTAAAAGTCCTCAATTAAAATGTTCTCCTTGCTGGCTTTAGTAAACTAATTAAAGTGTCGTTTTTCGAGATTCTGAAGCCCCCCCCCACCCTCTTAATTGCTTTCGGTGCCTCCGCACTTCAGTTACAGTATTCTCCGAGTTTACACGTGTAGTTATTTTGGCAGATGGAAAAATACCAGTGGATGAGACAAGAAAGGAAAGGAAGATTATGACATACTCCATATTTCAGCTTGCGGTCATCTGGATTCTTGCTGTTTTGGGCTTGTTTTATTCGATATTTTTCTTCCATTTTAACATCAGTAAAAGGAAACACAAGTGAGTAAATATTCACTTGTGGCTATGTCAATTTATAGATTCTGAAAATTTAGCCTTTGGGATAATGCAAACAACAATCTATATTGAATCCGTAGAAGATCATTGTACGTTCTTTTTTACCCATTGTTTTATCATCACTACAACATGCAGAGGCCGATAAACGAAAAATTTATACTAAATTGTCCACAAATCATTACCATTTAGTAGTTTTTAAACTTTCTTTTATCAGAAACATTGCTTGCTTAACATACATATTTGCCTGTACTTAGCCGAGTATATATTGCGGTAAATAAACAGAGATTACACCTATAATATGTCTGCAGTAAGTAAATTATTTTTAATTATCAGTTACAGACCGCCTGTTCATCTTTGATATTTCTTTTTTAGAGTGGTTCGAATGTCCTCTCCGATGATCAACAATGTCGTTCTTCTTGGCTGCTTCTTTTGTTATGTTTTTGTTTTCTTGTTGGGAATTGATTCAAGATTTGTAAATGACCATGTCTTGGGAATATTGTGCAATGTAAGCTATGGCCGTATTACTTTTTCTACCAGATTTATTTGGTCGATTCCATGTTCCTTTCTCCCGCAAAGATGGCGGGCAAGAAGGAAGAATCGTCTTTGTGAAAAATATCGTGAAAATTTTATAAAAAACAGATGCGGTTTAATCGAGACAGGCCAGGAAAAATAATTGTAAACGAAAGCATCAAGAGCCTTGCAGTCGCCAAAAGTTTATTTTTCTAAAAAAAAATGCTTATTTTCGCGAGGATAGCGGATTTTATATCGGTTACACAGTACCTAGCTAAATGGAACGTACCGAATTATTTTCATATAAATTTCACAGCGAAGTGATTTTTATGCCGTAAAACGTACAGGGTAGGTTTCGTACAAGATACCGTACAAGAGTAATCCGGTATCATTAGTTTTACAAATCTTGTTTCTCTAGCCCGCGATTTTCACTTATCCAGTATTTCCTGTCTTATCAGGTGCGTCTTTATGTGCTGTCTGTTGCCTTTTCCATGTCTTTTGGTGCTCTGTTCAGTAAAACATGGCGAGTACACAAGATTTTTACCGCTCAACGAGCTATTAAGAAGAAGGTAAAAACTAGAGTTCATTGCTACGTCTCTATCATTCATCTCACAGAAATAAATTACCAGTTTTCACACCGTTGAAATTGTGCGTAACTGACAATGACAAACCAAAGTCTGGAGTCCATGACATCGTTGTTGGACGACTTTAGCCTCTTCTCAAGAGGTCTTGTATGATAAGAATTCTTTCTTAATTACTTTAGCTGATGCGAGACTTTCATCTCCTTCTTTTTGTCTTGGCCTTGGTTGTAATCGATGTCATCTTCATAACCATGTGGGTCTACTATGATCCCTTGGAAACCAAGGAAATCATATTTGATAAGATAGTAAGTTTATGATTATGATTATTGAAATGCATAACTTATACACTTAATAAGCAATATTTGTGTTCATTTCCAACGTTTTAGAAAGACGATTCCGGGGACCTGATTACAATTCCCGTGCTAAAAATCTGCGAGTGCACCCATAGAACAAAGTTACTCGGAGCTCTTTATGGATACAAAGGAATTCTGTTGCTGTTTGGTGTGTTTCTGGCGTGGGAGACGAGAAATGTTACTATACCTGCTTTAAACGACTCCAAGTACATCGGAATGTCAGTTTACAATGTTGTCATATTATCAGCCATTGGTGCAACAGTGTCCATGGTTTTAAAGAAGACAGTTTACTTTGAATTACTTCATGTATTGGTATCTGCTGTCGTGGTACTTTCCACGACTGTTGCCCTGACGATGGTCTTTGCGCCCAAGGTAGTAAGATGACCTACTCATCCTCCGTGTGTCAATTGTGGAATCGCTGTGATTCAAAATGATGATATTCAAAATTGTGATACTTTGTCTTTTTGGGAGTTGAGTTAAATTTTGAATTCTTCATGATTTCCACGTCTATATTTTTCATTAAGCAGGTCTACTTATTCATGATCAAATCTTATTAAAACTATTATAGCCTTCTTGATTACACTTGTTCATTACCAAAAAAAACTATTTTAAAAGAAAAAAATTGTTGATTCCATCGAAAAGTACAGAACTTCACCTTTGTGCAAGACTTGTGTTAGCAAAAACCCCGATTTAATCACCTATAATGCAGTGATTTTAAGTGATACTGTTTCTTCAAAGGTATACGAGTATTATCTATTACCACCCGAGCCTCAAGAACGCACCCGGACTATGGAAACGCTTCAAATGAGCATGACATCCACCACAACCACGGAGGCATCTGACGTTTACGAAGTTTATGTCAAAACAAAAGATGTTAAGCATAAATGGATACAAACTGATGATTTCGAGGAAGGTAAGGATGATATACCAATTCTCTGAAGGATTATATATCTCTGTTTTTCATTCCCTTTTCCACTACCACGCGTAGCCAGCATCGATAATTGGGGCGGCCCATATTCATATATTCATGTTAACAGACTGTAAAGACAATTGATTTGAAAAGAAATTAAACCTGCGTATCACGAATATATGAATATTGGCCCCCCAATTATCGTTCTGGCTACGCCACTGTTCCACTACATGATGTAACATGTCCTTAATGGCTTGTTCTTTTGTGTGAAACAGAGATACAAATTTAGTCAATATTTACGTCTGATTCTAAAAGCTCACTCGCACTCAAACTCATTGAGTGGGAGATCTTCTCGTAACGTTTCCATGGCGGTACTTCCAGTCGAATAGGGGCTTGATTTTCAGTGTTTAAATCAGTGCTCAAATGTCAGTGCTTAATTGTTTCCACCTATTGAGAAAAAACTTTCTCATGGAGCAACATTAAAAGTGATTTAAAATGGAATCTTACTAACTTTTGCATGTAATCTTCTGCAGTAAACAGTGGTCTAATAACCGCATCGCCGGCGCCACTGGGACAGAACGGAGCAACAGTTGTTGACAATGGGATCCATGAGGACAGGAATGATGAAATGGTGACGTCTGAGGGAAATGATGAATCTCAGTTCAGAGAAGTGCATATACAGGATGAGGAACGTATACTAATGGCATCTGGTGTGTATATAGGATTGTGTAACGATAGCATGAGATCTCCAATGGCCGTGCGAAATGAAGGATTCAGTGAGAATACCGAAGACGCTAAGGAGCAAAACGGGTTAAATGGTGATTGAATGAAATAGGCAAGGTGTACTGTAGCACTGGTAATTATTTTGAATTTTTCCTTCCTTTTAAGTATATAAGGATTAAGTTAAATTTAAAAAGATTGATAAATTAAAAAAAACAACCTTCTGACCTGGTATTTTCCAGATGTTATTGTTTCCAAATGATAAAGATGTAATTACCTGCATAAAATAAACAGATAATTGTTGATAATGTTGATTTTAATTCCATATTAAATGTTAATTCTGTAGTCATCATTGATGTAATGAATAATGACGTAAATTTATTAAACTTCTGTATAATTATGTTAAAATGTATAACTCGTAGATATTAAAAATACAAAATAATTTTAAATGTTTTTCTTATTCATAATTTATTGTGTGTCGTGTTTTTTTTAGCCCGGAAAACTTTAAATGCTTCCAATTTGTTATTATTTAACGAATGTGTCGACAAATTGATACTAAAATATGCTGAAAACTTCGATTTATTCGACTAACGATTTTAAATAATGACATAATAGTGGAATTTGTGTTTTAGTGCTTAAATAAAATGTCTTTACTATCGATATGAAAGTTTTTAGCCTTATAAATGTACAGGAAATCTCCAACATCAAGAAAGGTGTTCAACATGATAAAACATCTTTTAGTATCTTTTATGCGTGACTCAATTTTCTAACAGGCTACTGCATAATTATTGGTCATTATAACTTTATATTCGATATTGTAAAGCCCGAATTCGACGATATATTAGACGTGCTTATGAAATGGCTCTGCTGTTCGCGTTGTAAGTTATTTAAACTAAGGGGATTTAAAAATCTGAAAACAAAGCTTGAGTCTTTATTTGAGGAACTTCAAAGTCTCGCCGAATTAATGGCTAATTCGAAACACGATCTGTTCAAATGCATGCACCTATGTTTCCTTGCTAGCTACAATATTTGCCAAATTTCAGCAAGCTAAATCACACATTTTGCTTTGTCTGGACCTTTTTCTTTTACCTGACAAAATTTAACGTGCTATATGTGGATCATCTGGTTGGATGTTGTTTTGAAGGATGTCATAACACCTCATTGTTTTCAAATCAATCTCGAAACCAGAGCCCGCGATCCCCTGATCTCTTTCCCCGATAAATTGCAGGCTCAGATTTCGAGATGGTTTTGACATGCCATATCTTTACTAGGTTTTTTCTTCTCTCCATTTTAGGCCTATTATGCATGATGTTTGAAATGCATTGTGGTAAACGGTATGTGTTTTCTTTTTATGTTCTTTAGTTTTATTTTATTACCCAACATTTCACTTTTTTTCACCCCAACATCTGTACACGGTTGGCCGAGATGTAACTAATCACTGGATGGAGCATTTTAAAAAAATCAATTACAGTAAATTAATTTGAAAGCCATTCTTAACGATGCAAATTAGTCGGACGATTAATCGTGTTTAGGTTATCGTAATTACAACATAAATTAAGTTGGCGGCTTCATAATTAAATGAAAAGGCTAAGGGTTTGTCATTCATGTAAAAATAATTTATAGTTTCAAGAATCGTGTTTTTATCTGCCAGAAAAGAAGACGAGTATTGCCTATACCTTTTAATTCGTATTTTTCGCCTTTCCAAATTCGGGCCCAGGGTATCTATATGACATTCCAATTTGCTTTGTTGACCGCCGTTCATTATTGGTAAAATTAGCAAAGCGAAAAGGCAATAAACGATTTGGTTTTTGAACAAAATAAACACCGACATTTCATTTAATGAAAAGTGCGCCGTTTTCATATTCTCGTTTTGCAGTCTTCATATTGAGACCGGCTGTATCAATCTCCGGAGGCTTATTTTGCAACAATATAGTAGCTACGATCACAGCTTTTGGATAATTTTAATTTTCGACTGGATCAAACCTCACAAAAGGTAATGCTTTTTTACTTATGGCGCACTGAAGATTTGTTATGTATATAGTGTAAAACGAGGAACTCGAACATTAGCATGTCGTATTATATATGATATATAATTCTAACTATCTGTAGTTTTTACCTAACAAGAGGAATTCTTTCTTTCGCTGGACGTATCTAAATGATTATTTGTTAAATATTGGTTAAAACCCACATTTTTCCACCGCAAGGAGTTTTAAATAGATATCCTTGATTAGCTCATATGTACACGCACTATAAAAAATGGTTATTTTAACTCAGCTGGTGCCTTGAGAATTTTTTTTGTGACAAAAATGATTACAACAATATACTGCATTCGTTATATTAATTTTCAGTTATGTTGTCGACTATTATTCTCACTGTGTTTGCTTTTGGATGTCTACAAATCACCTTGGCTGTTCCCAAACACAAGATTTACATCGGTTGTCTAGTGCCAAGCTATAGCCAAGATTTTTATGGCTACGAAGCAGCTATCAATCTTGCCGCTGAAATGATAAATAATCGAACAGACATTTTACCCAATTACGAAATGGTCATGCTCTGTCGAGATACCTATGTGAGTGGAATTTATAAAACATAATTGTAACCGTTTTCTCATGAATATGAATGAAATGGATGATTATAATTACCTTGGCAGGTGTTCGAATCCAGATATATTAGCATTATCACTAAGTTATATTATTTCAACTTATTGTTCTTGTTTTCCGGCAGTTATATACCCTAGGCCCATTTTAGGGTCTGTTTATATGGAGCGATTTTCCTCGCCCCGCTGGGATAACTCGCTCCATGTAAACAGGCCCTTATAAGGCGGTTTTTCACTACGCGAAGTTTTTCGATCGAACGAAATTTTTCGCTCGATTTTCTTTTCAATTGTCACCAGTGAAGGGAATCCGCCACGGTCGAATTCTCACAATTGAAAAGAAAATCAAGCGAAAAATTCCGCCTATAGTGGAAAACCGGCTTTAGACGTCAAATTTTTCATGTGCGGAACCTGATATTAATGAGCTAAAGTCTTTGTTTGCGTTTGAGTCCATTTGCATTCGAATCGGCACATGAAAAGTTCGACGTCTGAGAGAGAGCCTTAAACATCTCGGTTCAGCTAAAATCTGATGCGAAGAAACTAGTGATTTAGTGGTTTTAAAATTGTGACTTGTTTATGAGAGTTATAGAAACTGCTATCTTCAAAATGCTCTGTAAAATGAGATTTGTCTTAACGTGATCACTTTTTTTATTTCAGTTCAATTTCAATGTTTAAAATTTTTAATTTTCATTATTTCTTTTAGGCACACATTCAATATACATTGCATCATATATTTAAATTTCTTCAATTGCCCGCGAATCGATCTATCCGTTTACTTATTGGTCCAGCGTGGTCTAAGACCACCGTTGCTGCAAATCAGGCAACCAGATCTTCAGAAACAGAAGAAAATAAACTAATTAATGAAATTCTTAATGAATGGTGAGCTTAAGGAAATGTCAATTTTCACAACACGTATACGTTGACCGCAAGGAATTTTTTTTGCTTTTTACGAATCACAATCCTTGACCAAGTCTTTTGACGTTACTCGTGCCGTTTGTATTGCCAAAAAACGCCACTTGCTTGAGCTCACTAATATGTCATCAGTGTTTACGGATTTCCCAAACTGCATTTCTTAACACACTCGTGCAACGGTTTTTTATTTAAGACCCGAGTGAACCCCGAATTTTAGTGGCCACTTTATGGTTAAATTGCATGCTCCCTGCTTTAGTCTACTGTGCCATGTCCACTTTATCCTATATCTCCTTTTCCATTAGCCTGACATTTTTTATTGTCCTCCCATCATCTGAGAGAAGCGGTAGCTATATATACACCATTCAACTAGACACACCATCATGTCCCCGCAGACACCTGCTCTTATACTTTTAGCGTCTACACCGTTTTATATAATATTTTAGTTGTCATACGCGGCGAGCAGTGTGAAATTTCAAAGTTTCGAGTACATGACATTGTTTACAAATGTTCCGTCAACATCTGCGTTCAATAAAGCCAGACTGGAACTGATAAAATACTTTGGCTGGAAAAGAATCGCCATCTTGCGAGAATATGATGACGAGTTATACGCGGAGGTGAATTAGATTTTTTTGTAATTCATTGAAATATTTTCATCACTCATCCTTTCCCGTCCCTAGACGTTTAAATCCGCAATTATTTCTGGAGGTATGCCCCGTTCTGAAATTTCCTTTTTGTTATCTGAATCAAAAGTTGTATGCAAAAGGTCTATACCGCCATCATATTTTTGTTGTTTGGCAATTATCACAAAACAAAATTGCTGATGATACAAACATTGGATTTTGAAAATGCAGTAAATTTGAAGTTGTTAAATTTTCGTAAATGGCTCACGGCTTACATTCAAACTGAGCTTAATTTAACGTGGCAAAACCTAAATTTCAGTTCATCGAAGTAAAATCCTTTCACTTTTATCTGTAATACGGGGATTTTTATTTTTACTTATTGAACCTATATATTCGATTTAGTCGGTTCGTGACCTGCGTCACCAAATAGTTCGTGACAATTTAAACATTTCTCTGATCACCATCGAAGGATTCAGCCGGTTCACGAAGGGTCATCCCAGAATGCAATTGGAAAACTTAAAAGTAAGCCACAAAATTTAATGTATATTTGTGTTCCAACGGTGATATGTTTCTTTATTTTTTTCTTGCGTCCGAATTCATATTTTAGCGTATGAGGGCGTACGGACCGCGCGAGATTTAAAAGCACAGAGCAAACGCTGAAATAGTATGAATTCGGACCGCAAGAGAAAAATAAATCTATTATTTACCAGTTTAGTCGGTCCGTATGGGGAAATATTTCCCTTGGTCTCAAAACGTCCCTCGCGGCCTTCGGCCTCGGACCTCCAATCTGGTAGATAACATATATATATATATATATATATATATATATATATATATATATATATATATATATATATATATATATATATATATATATTCATCATTAAAACATCGCTTTATTCAATTTCAGAGCCTGGACGCCCGTATCATAATTGGCGAGTTTTCGATCAATGGCGCTGTTGATGTTTTTTGCGAGGTATGTCATGATTTTACCCAGTCCGTAGTTATTACTGCATGAGACCCCATGACTTATATGTTATTCAATGAGCAATCCATAGTCGCGAATAGAAAGCTGGAAACGCGCAACTTTGTCTTTCCTCACTCGTTTCTCGTACTTCATAATCACTGCAAAGAATTTCTACCTAGGCTTACAAAATGGGAATGACAAGTCCTAAGTATGTGTGGTTTTTGCCAGCAACAGCCTCCGGCGCCTGGATATTCAGTCCTCTAACATTTCCCAAATACCACAAAGCTTCCAAGTGCAATATCAGCCAAATCATCGAAGCAGCAG